CACAAATGAAGACACTTTCTTTCTTCTTTTCTTTTCTTTTCTTTTTTTCTCCTCTTCTATTTTCCAACCTGGTAATGAACGCACAGCAAAGTGATACAAACCCTCTTGGCTCGTTTAGTCTCACTCATATCGTTTTGCTCATGGACATGTCCTAATCAACCTGTTTGGCAAAGTTTGTCTTCGCTTGCCAAAAGAATTATTATTCAATTCAACATGGGGAGAAAAAACCAAGTATCAGCAATCAGAACTATGATATCAAACAAAAAGAATGATACATGACTAATCTTGCACTATCGTTCTACTTTTAATTTGAAAACTCAATAACGAACCCATGACGCATCAATAGATAAGTAGGAAATGACCGCATTAGTGAAATAAAATATCTACTACAGTCAATCCAAACATAACTTAATAGATAAGGTACTCATTACCATTTCAAATATCGATGGCTAAATCTCCCCCTTACAATTTATATTTAATCCCATGGTACAAGAAAACCTGCATGAAAGTATATAACTAAGACAAATATTTGAGCAATTATCAAATTTGCAAGAGTTTTGAACTTTTAAGACTTCGAACACATTCTGGAGACTAACAACATGTATGGCTTTTAAGAAAGCTAGATTGTTTGTCAAAAGTGACTGCTAATAAGACTAGGTAGCTTTATGTTAGCTAAACAGATTGATGGGGCATTTGATGTTTCATGCTATGCGTTATAATGCGTATAATCAACATCTTCTTTTACCACCTTTGCTGCTATGACAAGCTAGAATCCATTGCTTTGCTTTAGACCAAAGATAGGCATTTGTATCACTTTTCAAATATATTAAAGAAAGAAAACTCAAGGCAGCATAAACATGATTGGCATTGGTTACATTAATACACAGATCCACCAAATTTTCATAACTAATAGAAGGAAAGAACATCATTATGAAAAATTGTTAAGCTCAACACGATTAAGCACATTATGAGTCAGGTAGGCGAGGTGGGGGTATTAAGAAAGACAAGATGTAGTGCTAACAAATGTTTTGAATGTAACCAAATCAGTTGTCTTCCATAAAACACTAAGAATGAACAACTCAAACCAAGTTCATTATGGGTGAGAACACACGCTACCTTTTCCACTCGTTTAGCAATGAGAACCTTTAACACAAGGAGTGAGAAAGTTTCTGCATGAACAAAAATGGTTATAATAAAGTAAACAAGGCAGAATGCTGGTAGAAATGTGCAGCCTAGTCTAGAGTCCAAGATAAGCAGAGTTAAGGGCTTTACCATACAATAAGCCTCTTATACAGCACCACCTACAGAATTTTATCTGATGTTCTTGGCCCCCAAGAAGCTTTAAGAGCAACATCTTGGAGATGACGGCCTGAACTTTCAGCTTTTCTGGAAGTTTCCTATTTTCTACATAAAACTCAAATAGGAACATGTACTAGGGGTCAAGAATCAATCACTTCATCGATGTTTTTCCCACTATAATTTTGAAACAAATCCTCTCTGCATCTCATGAAGAGATGTTGAAAAAAAGTTATTAAAATAAGTTTTTAAAAGTTAATTGGTTTAAAAGAATAATAAAAAGCTGGTTTTGCCAACAAAGTAATTCATACTCAATTTAGAACATTTAGTAATTTGATAACGATTTATTAACTACGTAAAAACACAACTTTAAAGGAGGCTACAAATGAGAGACCCTACATTACATAAATAAGACAGGAAGTATAAACTGGAGCTTCCTTGATCACAGGAAACTTGTTTCCTTGACTTTTATTCACCACAAAGAAGTTAATCGAATCAAGCTCCAATGGGTCAACAAATTTTGAGAAACAGATGAAATATTTGAAACAAAACCTTTTAATTGATCAAATAACACATGAAACCTCATAAACTACATCGTAGGGAGACATTATGCGATTCTAAGAAGCCAGATTTGGGGAAGCAGCAGCTTCTACAGGCTTCATGGAATAAAAAAGATTCAAAACATCAGCATGGTTACGAATGTCACTGGGGCATTTTGAAAGAAAGTCTTGAGCATCTCCGTGCCTTCCAGCTTGGAAAAACGCTTCAAACAAATGGAGAAACACTGACGTAGAAGGAAATCTCTTTGATGTCATTGCCTTTAGGAAACCAATGGCATCATCGGCGGTTCCAGACTTCGATACGTAAGAGATAAATGGTTCAATAAATGGTGGGAATTCATGATTTCTCATCATCCCCAACAATTTCAAAGCTTCTTTGAATTCCCCTCGTTGCAGTAGCTTGTTTATCAATGCTTTGTATGTAGAATGCCATGGCTTTAGCTGCTTTCCATCAACAAGATCGGAGAGAAGGTGGCTAGCATCAGTTTCACGTCTCTTTTGACAGTAAGCATTTATTATTAAATCCAAAGCATATCCAGCATTAGAGACGTCTCCTTTTTCAACCATTTTGTGGATGCAATCAGAGGCCATAGCAAGATCTCCAGCAGCACAAAGCCCTTCAATCAGAGATGCCCAAGTCTTGTTGTCTGGATTACATCCAGAAGCTTCTAAGCCGTTCATGAAATCATTAGCTTCATCACTTTTTCCAGTCCTACTGAGTCGATATGCTACCTTTCTCTTCAAACTACCACTAAATTCATATCCATACTCTTTCATTACATTTAAAACCTCAGTGTACTCTCCAATCCTACCAACAGTAGACAGAGACTTGAGAACTGCAGAAACCATTGAATCTGTCAACACATTACCTGTCTCTGTAAATACCTTCAATGTCCTTGAGAATAGATCTAGATCTAAGTGCTTACTAACTGCTATTTTCTTTAACAGAAAAGTAAGACAATCCACCGAAGGCTTATTACCTCCTGCCATTGCAAACACATACAAATTTACAGCTTCCTCAATCATTCTTCTTTTACAAAATCGTCCCAACACCTTGGCAAATGTCTCTACCCCCATTTCGTAACCATGGCTCCTCATTTCATCTACTACTTTCCAAAATCTATCTATACAATCTTCCCTTCCTAACACCCTGGCCATGGCATTATAAGTTTGCTCATCGTGCTTAAACATCCCACTCTCACCAATCCATCGGAAAAATATAAATGCTTTTGCCGGATCTGTGCAAAGATTCTCCAATATCATCTTAACCATGTCACTTGAAAACGAAACATTCATATCACACAGTTGCTGCTCAACATCATCTCCCCACACATTGTTCCTGACAAGTTTGCAGACAATTGAACCAATCTTCTCCGGAGACTTGTCTGTGGATCCCGATGCAAACACATCTCTCAACTTCTCAGCTTCACTCTCCAATCCATCCTTCTCAAACTTCTCCAATACCTTATCCCGTACAGTTTTAGATATCCCATAACCCTTTTTCTTCATATCGCAGTTTAAATCCCAAAACTCCCCAACGTGGTCATTAACACCTAGGATTCCCAGCATCAAGTTATACGACTTGGAGCTAAGTTTCTCGCCATAATCCCCCGAAACCCAATTGAAAAACCTGATAGCACTATCAGGGTTCGATTCGAGCTTCCCCAATACCTCCAACACCAAATCATGACTAATAACAATACCATTCGACTCTAAATCTTTCCTAATTTCATCCACGTCCCGAGATTTAGAGAAAATATCAAACACAACAGCGTGATCAGACTCCTTCTGTTCAATCACCGATTCGGAGGAGAACGTTCGAGGAGTGCCGTACCTAGATTTCACGATACTCGTGCATTGAGAATCGGAGATGGGCGGCGACGCCGTGCCGTGAACGGGATGCTTAGGAAGTAGTGAAGATAGAAAGCGAAGTGATTGCAGATTGGGATCGGAATGTACCTGAAAATGTGAGGCGTTGGATGAAATCCGAAGCTGAGAGCGAAAATGAGCTCGCAAACGTAGCAGTCGCCATGAATATCTCATATTGCGGCTTTAGGGCACAGAATCGGAAGCAAGGGCGAAGCTAAGTGAGACGCAGAGAGACACTGGTAGAAGTAGGGTTTTAGAGAAGATATGCTTTAAGTCTTAAAAATAAATAAATAAATAAATAACGGTTGACACGAAAATCGAATTTATTGGAATAAAAAATCAAAACCTTTTTTTTACATTTTTATTTTAGATATTTTTTTTATTATTTAGTTAAATTTTAAATATTAATAGACCTTATTACTCATTCAATTAGTCCATTAAATTTTAATTTTTTTAAATACTTCTACCTTATAAAATTATTGATATTATAAAATATCATTTGGTATTTTTTTTAATTAATTTTGTATATTAACTAAAAATCAAAATATTGAAATTACATCTACATTTTTATTTTAGATATTTTTTTTTATTATTTAGTTAAATTTTAAATATTAATATACCTTTACCGATTCAATTAGTCAATTAAATTTTAATTTTTTTTAAATACTTTTACCTTATAAAATATCATTTGGTACTTCTTTAATTAATTTTTTATATTAACTAAAAATCACAATATTGAAATTATATAATAAAAAAATATTTAAAAATCAAAATATATTTTAGCACCCGTTTACTATTTTTATAGACTCCAAATTGAATGCTTAAATTTAATTCCTTTATATTAATTTTTTCTATACATATATTCTATTAATATTCTTTTAAATTATTTTAATTTTGGTAAATGATACAAAATATTAATCAATTTATGGTATTATATGAGTTCGTAGAAATTAGAAGGCACGTAATATTATTTTCAACTATATTCAATTATCGTATTAATTTTATTTATCTTAATATATTGTTAAAATCATTTATATAATTATCAAATTATATATAATTAATTTTATAAAATTTATTATTGTTTCAAATGTATATAATTATAAAATATTATATTTATTTTGTTGTAATTTTCTCTATTTCTAATCACTTTTTAAAACAATTATTTTAATTATTATACAAAGCCTTTAAATTAACCAACTAATCGTTTATTATTAGAAAAGCTCTAGAAAAGAGCATCAAACAAAATTAATGGAAAAATATGAACGATAGGTGATATCATTTGTTCACGGCATCCTTAACAGCATCTGCAGCTCCTTGTGCCTTAGCCTTCATTTGTTGGCCTGTCTCTTGTACCCGACTCTTTAGCTACCGTGTCGTTCATATTGCTCACTTTCTCCTATATTAAGGATACAAATTAACATGTTACCGATGTATTATCAATAGCTAAAAACAAATGTGATTCAAACCAAGACGTCAGTGAATAGAAAACCTGAGTTTGACCCTTGGCCTCTCCGACACGGTAGCTCATCTGACTCGAGTTATCCGCCATTTCAATTCTTTATTGATAAAGATTCAAAAACACCAGAAGAAAAAAAGAATGAGAATTTGGAAACCACATGTGTGAATATGGCTCTAGTTTGTTGATTTATACGGTTAGGTTAAATTAGGCTCTAGTTTGTTGATTTATACGGTTAGGTTAAATTAGTTTGTGTGTGAATATGGCTCTAGTTTGTTGATTTATACGGTTAGGTTAAATTAGGCTCTAGTTTGTTGATTTATACGGTTAGGTTAAATTAGTTTGTGACACATGTAATACGATAATTGAATCATAGCTCCACGTGTCTAATTTTCATTGGAGTTGTCCATAGAGGCCCATTTGACCAGGGAGAAGCAAGAAGTGTTCCAATGATCAATTAGTTTTTTTTTTACCGCTGTTTTTTTGGGAATGAGTCAGAATGGCATTATGGTAATAGTTTATGTTATGGGGGATATTTCTGTCATGTGTTTTTGGTCGACAAAGAATATTTTAACTCAAATAAAATAAAGGGACTTTATTTATTATCCATTTTTATTTATTTTTCGTTAATTTTAAAGTTTAGTCAATTTATTTTTTAAATTTTAAGTTTTGTAGGTAATTTTTAAAAACCAATTTTGAAAACGGGTTTTAAATTTTATTTTTATTAATAAAAATTGTTCTCATGAAAAAAAAAAAACGGTTATAAATAAATTAGGAGAAAACTCATATAAATATTTTTTATTTTATATGTATCTAATTTGTTAGAATTTGAAAAGAAAATATTAAATAGATATTAAACATTATATTAAATTAAAATATATTATACAATGATTAAAAATTTATAAATTCAACCTAAATTGATAATATATAAATCCTTTCCAAGTTTAAATTACAGTTTTAACCTTGAATAAAAAATTTATAATGTTAGTAAATAAATTATTTAACAGAAGCATTTTTTTATAATAATAATTACAAACTAGCCATTTTCTCATATATTTTTATATTTTAAACTGCACAATATAAATTAAAATTAATATTGGTTATTTTAAATAATATTTCCCTAAAAACCAATAAATAAATGAAATTTTACTAAAATTTAAATGTCTCCCTAGTTATTTTCTCTTTTAATTTTTAAAAATTTTTAAATTTGAATTAATATATAAAGTATCCAAAAATCCGTAAAGAATGAAAAAAATTAAAATCTGACGAATATAATTAAATATAATGAGGGAGAACTATTAATTGAAAAAGGAAGCTTGGTTAGCTTCGTCCAAGGCCAAAGAGATGAGCCACTAAATAACAGGGTTCATTTGTTGAGACCGGTGTTGTCCTTGATAGCCTCCACGGCTCCCTGAGCCTTAGCCATCATTTGTTGGCCTGCTTCTTGCACCGTCTCTTTGGTTGATTGAGCTGTATCGCTTGCCTTCTCTATGAGGTTGCTCGTTTTTTCTTTGGCTTGGCCCTTGGCTTCTCCCGCTTCAAAGCTCATCTTTTGAGATTCCATATTGATGAATTCTTGACTTGTTATAAAAACTAGTGTTTGGGGTTGTTATATAGCAAGTTCTTATTAGCCTAATAAAGATAGAGAGAAATTTATGGCTGTTTAGTTGCTGAGAAGGTTTGATGGATTCAAATTCCACTGTTTTTTTAAATAAAAGTATGTAATAATTCAGTAACCACATTAAAAAAACAAAATTAACCGAGCACTTGTAGACCATTCTTACCTTCATTTGGTAATAGCATCTTTGACAGCATTGCTCCATGTGCTTTTCTGATGTTCCACATTGATTAATTGGGAAGGAGAATAAACCACCATTTATAAGGGTGTGGAAACCTTCCTTAGTAGACGCGTTTTAAAGCCTTAAGGGGAAGCTCGAAAGGAAAAATCTAGAGAGGACAACCTCTACTAGCCTAGGTCGTCATGTTTCTTACACTGATTCGTTGATTGATAAATGTAGATGATAATTTACCATTAGTTATTATTATTCTTTTTTTTTTACTATTGGTATATGAACACTGCCCGTTATTCCATTACGTATTGTCCTCAAAATATTTCCACATCCTTGTAAGAAATTTTTCTTTGTTTCTCGATATAAAATTTCACAATCCATTTTGTCCATCATACCATATATTGTCGCCATTGCATATTGTCCTCAACCAGCCTCAGGATAAATATTTCCACGTCCTTTAATAAATTTTTTTTTGTTTCTCGATATAGAATTTTACATTCTATTTTGTCCATCGTACCATATATTGTCCGTTTGGTTTGGCCTGCTTGTGTCTGTTAGTAGAGGTTTTCACACACTTACAAATATATATATATATATTTATTTGATTTTATGTTGATCTCAGAATTATTATAGCTTGTGCTCTTCTTTCCTTTAATGTCTTTGCTTCAATCTATTTAGCAAATTTTTATTTATTATATTTTTTTTTTGGAATACTAAATTAATTAAAAAAAGCTTTCTCATTTATAAACATTTTTCAATCTTAGGTAAAAGCCCATATCCCTTATGGAATTGAAAACGATGATTTTCCCCTCCATTCATTTTACAATTTTTGACGAATGGTTTGCGCCTTCTGAGCCACATATGCCAAACCATGTTCATCTCCTTAATCTAAAACCTAAAATCTCTGCAACTTCCTCCATGCCATGACAATGTTAATCATCCAAACCCTTCAAAATTCCAGTCCCTTTCAACATTTCTCAGATACCCTTTTCATCTTTCTTCCCTCTTGTTCAATTCGCCTCCCATTTTAGTCAGCTCAATAACCCAGGTCGGATTTCCATGGCGGGTCTCTCGATTGTTTGTAATAATGGCTACTCTCTGCCTCCAGGAAGCTTCGGAGCTCATATCAACAGCAACAAGCATCTATGGAGGTATAGAAACTTCTCTTGTAGCTCTGTTACTCTTCCTCCCATGGCTTTGCCTTCTACATACTTAAATCTTCGATGCCAGTTGCTCTGTAATTGTCAATTTAGGGTAATAAGCAATGGGCAATGGCGATTTTCTTGTAACAGTAAACTTGAGCGTATGATGAATGATAAAATGCCTCCTCTGGGTAGTAGTAGAAGGAACAACAATTTGAGAAGAAAATTTGGTTTAAGATTACGCCCGAGGTTGAGATTGTTATCCAAAAGATTAAGAACAGTTTCTGTTCGATCAGCTATGAACAATGTAAGAACATTTATTAGGAAGAATGTTAGGAAGGTGAGCCTTTCTGCTTCAGTTTGTATTGTTTTGGGGCTGTGCTATTTGTTTCTGAAAGTAACTGCAGTCCCACCTTCTAAGAATGTTCCATATTCAGATTTCATTACCAGCCTTCAGAATGGAACTGTCACCAAAGTTTTACTCGAGGAGGGGTCTCGTCGTATCTATTTCAATCGAAGTTTTACGGAGTCGATCGAAGGTTTAGATAGTAAACCATTAGTAGTAGATAGTTCTAATGGAAGTGATAAGGGAATGAATGATGATTCCAGAGCTGTGCAAGCCCCAAAGATGAATTTATTGACAAAATTTTCTAGGAGAAGCAAAGTTGCGATTCCGGAGTGGAAATTTTCGACGAGGAAAGTAGACCATGATGAGAAGTTTTTGCTTGGTTTGATGAGAGAAAAGGGAACTACTTATAGTTCAGCACCTCAATCGGTTCTGATGTCGATGAGAACTACGTTGATAACGATCATATCTCTATGGATTCCTTTAATTCCTCTCATGTGGCTTCTGTATCGTCAACTCTCTGCATCGAATACAACTGCGAGAAAGCGCCAACCTAACAGTCCCATGGTTGGATTCGAAGACGTGGAAGGCGTTGATGGTGCTAAAGTCGAGCTCATGGAGGTAAGCTATTTAAAAATTTGATGGTATTAGATGTTATATGATCTTGTTCTAGTTCTTGAATTTTGACTTGTTTTCCATCAAAGTTCGTAATGAATCCTACTGACTGCAAGATGATTTCGACATTAATCAATGATGAGATGTTGTTTCGTTATAATAGAAAGTTTAGGAACTAAAATAGAAATCGAGTTAAATGTTTAGGAACAGTTTAAGCCGACAAACAGATGGTTTCTTTGTCCCTATTGACAAAATTAATGATCATAGGTAGTATCATGTCTTCAAGGAGCTATTAGCTACCAAAAACTAGGAGCAAAGCTTCCAAAAGGTGTCCTGTTAGTAGGTCCTCCTGGAACGGGGAAAACGCTCCTTGCTCGAGCGGTGGCTGGAGAAGCAGGGGTTCCGTTTTTCAGTGTATCAGCCAGTGAATTTGTTGAAATGTTTGTGGGAAGAGGGGCAGCACGTATCCGAGACCTTTTTAGTGTAGCAAGAAAATGTGCACCATCAATCGTGTTCATCGATGAACTTGATGCGGTTGGAGGGAAACGGGGTAGAAGTTTCAACGACGAACGTGACCAAACATTAAACCAGGTAATCTCGATTCAACGTACTTACCTCTACTCTTTTCAGTATAATGTCTGTATGATCCAACTCTCCTCCTTTCTAATTACCATAGTTGTTGACCGAAATGGATGGATTTGAGTCGGACACGAAAGTGATCGTTATAGCAGCGACTAACAGACCCGAAGCATTGGATCCCGCCCTTTGTAGGCCAGGTAGATTCTCAAGAAAAGTTCTAGTAGGACAGCCTGATGAAGAAGGAAGGAGAAAAATCTTGGCAGTACACTTACGAGACGTCCCGCTCGAGGAAAACCCGAACTTAATCTGCAGTCTAGTTGCATCACTCACACCTGGTTACGTGGGTGCTGATCTTGCAAACATCGTGAACGAAGCAGCACTTCTCGCTGCTCGCAGAGGTCAGTCGTTTTACTAACTTAACTCCATTTTTCGACTCGCACCATCACCCTTGTAAGGAATTATCCGTTCTTTCTTTTTTTTTTTTTTTTTTTTTTTGCAGGTGGCGAAACGATATCGAGGGAAGATTTTATGGAAGCTATCGAAAGATCGAAATTTGGGATCAACAACAAGAAACTGAGATCTAATACAATAAACACTGAACTTGAAAGATTGTTTCCATGGATGACAGCTCTAATGGGAAGAAATGACACAAAAATGGATGGATCCCAAGGGCCATTGGGCTATCAAACTTTGAGTTGATTGACAATATTGATATCATTTGCCTTGTACATAACTTTCTTGATTCATAGCGTTTCGGGTTTAGGCTGAATCGATCGGGAACGTCCCTCGCAGACATGCTACTTATCGAATAGAAATTTTATTACTTGATAATTTTTTATTTTTTTTACTATGTTTATAATTCTAAGTTTCAACCATATGGCTAGTTGGCATGGGCTCATAAAAAAAGTAGCTTTATTAAAAAAAAAAAAAAAAAAAAAAAACCCTAATTGGGATAGCTTTATTCATTAGAATTTACAATAGAGTTCGATGATAGAGTTCGATGCTCGAGTGAACTCGAATGGATGGATGTTCGGGATGTCCTGATTAGATAATCGACACATGGGTTCATTCCCAATAGATGTATCTGAGTAAGCCAAGATGACCGATGTGTCTTGAGACATGAGATGACATCAACATGCACGAGTCATGTTGTTGGGAACAAAGATGACAATGGAATGCGACATTGTTGCGTTGCAATGATTAGACATCCATGCACAAACAACGTGTGTGGCCGAAAAAGCGATGTACAGTTGACCAATTCAAATCTTGCCAACGGTCTAACGAACCCAAAAAGTCAAACAAAAGAATTTAAATCTATCTTCCATATTATTGAACAAAAACATAAATATTTTTTTTTATTGAATCTGAATTTTCTACCTGAAATTCATTATCAAATGTCAAGTTAAAAAATAAAATAATATAATAAAAAAGAAAAAAAGAGAGAAGAAGTAGAAACAATTTGACTTGTTTAAGCCGTTGACAAATTCATTAACAGGTCTACCGTTTGAATCTTAACTAATTAACTAAAAAAAACATGAAGAAAAAAAAAACACGATTTAAACAATTAAAACGATTAAGACAGTTAACTAATTTTAATCCGACAATTAGAAACTAATTATCCACAAAACACGGTTAATGACATGACGACGGAATCCAAAAGGATTCCTTAACTAATTTCGTGGCAAAAACAGAAGTCCAGGAGAATTGTTTTGATTCGTTTCTATCCAAGTTTTTATTTAATTTCCGTAAATATGACGTCAGCAACCCTTCTAATCCACAACTGTATCTAATTAATTTATCCACGTCGGATAATTGATTATGAGCGTGTGTACTTACGTGTAGTGCTGATCCTAACCATTTGTCCACCTGTCAAATTGTTCTTCTATTTAACGCACAGGTCAGCAGCAAAATTCATAGAATCAGAAACGAAGAAAAAAAAAAAAATTTGAAAAATTTGATGGCCAGAAGTATCCTTTCAACCCAATCAAAGATCCCCAAGAACGTATTTTTTTACGCTTTCAATCGGTTGTTGAACACCGCCGCATCCTCCTCCGCCGCTGCCTTCACTTCCGCCGCTTCTACGCCGCCGCCGCATCTCAATCTCGCTGTCTCTCCGGCGGCACCCACCGTCGATTTTTCTGACACGAAGGCCTTGTTTGGGTCGTTATCAACGTTGGAGGTCCTACACGCCGCCGCCAGCCTCCATGTCGCCGCTGTCGGCCCTGTCGTAGACGTCGGAATGTGGGTTATGAACTCTAAATTGATGGATGTTGAGTTGGCTCGTGATGTAATTTTTGGTACCGTTAGACATAGTTTTTACCGACATTTTTGCGCCGGCGAGGACGACACGGCTGTCGGGAAAACCGTTCGCCGGTTGCATAATGTCGGGCTGAGAAGCATGCTCGATTACGCTATTGAATACGCCAACGATGAGGAGTCCTGTGATCGGAATCTTCATGGGTTTCTCCGAACCATTGAGGCCACTAGAGTGCTCCCACGTGGCTCTGTAAGTTTCGTAAGAATTTTTTTTTGTTTAATACGGGAATAATATTGTCCACTTTTAGTATATGTTCATGATTTTGTTTTGGGTCTCTCCAAAATGTCTCAGACCACTTGTAAACCGCGATTCATTCTCTAACTTAGTCTACCTAGGACTCCCTCCCAACAATCTTCCGAGCCTTCCTTTGATGTCTATGTAGCCCTCGAACAGTTTCTCCTTAATCGAGGTTTAACTCTTGTCTCTGGAACCCTAGAACAAAATACACCCTTTGTTGACACAAGTTACTTTTGACTACACCTTCGATGCTAGTAATATCTTTGTTCTCATTCTCTAAATTAGTCCACATGGGACTCCCTCCCAACAATCTTCCGAGCCTTCCTTTAATGTCTATGTAACCCTCGAACAGCTTCTCCTTAATCGAGGCTCAACTCTTGTCTCTAGAACCCGGGAACAAAGTACCCTTTTATTGACTGCCTACACTTTTAAGGCTAGCAATTTCTTTATTCTTAAGGGCATGACTTTGACACCATGTTAGGAACTATACTCTCCACACGAGTATGATATTGTCAATTTTGAGTATAAGCTTCATGGCTTTGATTTGGGATTTTCGAAAGGGTCTCGTACCGATAGAGATGTATTCCTTACTTATAAACACACGATCATTCTCTAAATTAACATTCGATTTGTTTCGTGCGATTGATAGGCAAGCTTTGTGGTGGCTAAAGTGAGCGCAATTTGCCCATTGAGATTGCTTGAGAGAGTGAGTGACTTGTTAAGATGGCAACAAAAGGACCCATGTTTGAATCTTCCATGGAAGCTCAAAACATTCCCAATTTTCTCTGAATCAAGCCCTCTTTACCACACTCTTCAACAGCCCAATCCCTTAACAAACGAAGAACAAAAAAGCCTCCAAATAAGCCATCAAAGGCTAATGAAAATCTGCCAAAGTTGCGTGGATGCCAACGTTCCTTTAGCCATCGACGCCGAGCACACCAAAATTCAACCCGCCATTGATTACTTCACATACTCCGCCGCCATCATCCACAACAAAGACCATAACCCAATAGTGTATGGAACCCTCCAAGCCTATCTAAAAGACGCAAAGGATCGGCTTTTGTTGGTCACCAAAGAGGCCAACGAAATGAGAGTTCCTCTTGGGATTAAGCTCGTGAGAGGTGCTTATATGTCTAGTGAATCCAAGCTCGCTTCTTCTCTTGGATTTGAATCTCCCATTCACAATAGCATTCATGACACACATGCATGCTATAATAGTTGCGCGTCGTTCTTGCTCGACAACATCGCCACAGGCTCGAGCGGAGCCATTCTCGCTACCCACAACGTCGAATCAGGTATCCAAAATCGTATCTCATTTAATAACATAGGTACCTAGAACCATGTCTCGTTTCATAACATGGGTATCGAGAATCGTGTCTCGTTTCATAACATGGGTATCCTGTCTCGTTATGGGAACCCAAAATCGTGTCTCATTAAGAGTACTCAGAATCGTGTCTTGTTTAATAACATGGGTACCCAGAACCGTGTCTCGTTTCATAACATGGGTATCCAGAATCGTGTCTCGTTTAATAACATGGGAATCCAGAATCGTGTCTCTTTGAATAACATGAGTACCCAGAATCGTGTCTCATTTAATAACATGGGTACCCCCCAGAATCGTGTCTCGTTTTAATGAGTACCCAGAATCGTGTCTCTGTTTAATAACATGGGTACCCAAAATCATGTTTCGTGTAATAACCATGTTAGAACGTTGTTCATAATCTAGATCTCGTTCGATAACCATTTTATACCCACAATGTCGAATCCTGTAACACCCACATTAGAACGTTATTCATAACATGGGTCTCGTTTGATAACCGTTCTACAGGAAAATTAGCTGCAAAAAAAGCGTACGAGATAGGGATCGAGAAGTTGAAGAAAAAGCTCGAGTTTGCTCAATTGTATGGAATGTCGGAAGCGTTGTCGTATGGGTTAAGAAACGCAGGGTTTCAAGTAAGCAAATACATGCCATTTGGAGCAGTGGATATGGTAATGCCATACCTTCTAAGAAGAGCAGAGGAGAATAGAGGCCTCTTATCGGCCTCAAATTTGGACAGACAGCTTATGAGGTATAGAAATATAAATATTTTGTAGGGAGGGACTTGATAGCAAATTTGACATCTTTTTTAATTTCTTGATATTTGCAGAAAGGAGCTCGGGAGGAGGGTGAAAGAGTACTTGAGGGGTGAAAGAAGGGCCTTTTAGAAAATTCTCCTTTCTACAAAATTTGCAATTTAGTCCCTTTCAGTCATTTTTGCCATTTAGCTTACCGCTCGCTATGGTCTCCATCATTTATAATCTTGTTTTTCATAAACCGAACGAGAAATCTTCATGTAAACAAATAATAAAACAGAGATAAATTTCTTCCACCTACCTTGTTTATTTCTTTATTTATGTACATACGTATTTATTTACTTAATAAATAAATAAATATTTACTTAAAATATAAAATAACAATATTAAAATTTAATTTTTTTTAGATATTATGAACTCATTATACTGTATTTTATTAGAATTTATCTATTAATTAAAAAAAAATATATATGTATATCATATTTAATAAGTTAATCTAGCGGGATAATGATTAAAATGAAAATTAATTTATTAATTTGCTTAAAGTCGTTTTCAAAAATAAAAAAACAATTATCAAATCATAATTTAATTTATTTTTTCAGAGAAAGTAATATAAAACCCTAGTTATTAAATATATTATTTATTATTATTATTATTATTTTTAAATAATAAAAAATAGTAGTTATCGTGATCAACTCGGCATCGTGGGGTCTCTATTTGACTTGGAGTCATCGAGTAGCAGTTCATGCTTCTCTTTTCTTTGTTTTTCGCGGAAAAGGGTTGAAGATCCGTCTTGAAAATGGTCGCTTCATTAATTTCTTCAGGCATCAATGGTGGAGGTACTTCATTTCTCCTCTTTTTCTTTCCTGTTTTTGTGTTTGAAACTTCGGCTCTTTTGAAATTAACCTAGAATCCTTTTCATTTTACTTCTTGTGGATATTGATCATGTTTTGTTTGGAGATTTTGTGTATATGTTTGTGATGTTGAGTTTTGATCAAGGTTGTTGGATGAGTTTTTGCCTTCGAATTCGTCTGTTTTTGTTACCATTTTTAGAGATGAAATTGCGGGAACTTTGCTAGATCTTTTATTTGGAAGATCCCAGGATTTGTCACTGTTGAATTGGAGTTTGTCTGGTTTGTTGCTTGAGATGCTGGCACTTTTTGGAAGAGAGTGAGTGAGAAGCTGTATCGGTCTGGGTTTTTTGCTTGAAATGGTGATGTTTTTTGGAAGCTTTTTGTTGGTTTTGTGTGATTATTGCTGGATTTCACTTTTCCTGTTGGAATCACTGCATTTTCCTGTTTTTGGTCTCGAGATCCCACATCAGTAAAATCTTGAGTGGTAGCCCTGGAAGGGAAAGTCCAAAAAGGACAATATCTACTTGCCGTGGGCTTGAATTGTTACAAATAGTATAAGAACCAGTCACCGGACGGTATGTCAGTGAGGACGTTGGCTCCTCCCAAAGGGGTGGATTGTGAGATTCCACGTTGGTTGGAGAGGGGAACAAAACATGTGTTGCTAGTGGTGGGCTTGGATGGTTATATTAAGCTTCTCAGCCCTTCCCGCTTTCCTCTCATCTTTGATAATTTAAACCTTTTCAGGATGTCTTTCACTTGAGAGAATTCCAAGACACTTGAGGTTTTCAAATGGTTATAGAACAAAAGCAGCATCAAATCCTAATTTGAAGGCAGTCGAGGTCCCGCGTCAATGGTACAATCTCGTTGCAGATCTTCCTGTAAAACCTCCTCCTCCATTGCATCCCAAGACTTTTGAACCAATCAAACCTGAAGATTTGTCGCCTCTCTTTCCTGATGAATTGATTAAGCAAGAAGCCAGTGCTGAGCGGTACATAGACATCCCCGATGAAGTTGTCGATATCTACGGGCTTTGGCGTCCAACTCCTCTGATTAGAGCTAAGAGGTTAGAGAAGCTTCTGGGCACACCAGCTCGAATTTACTACAAGTATGAAGGAGTTAGCCCTGCTGGGTCACATAAACCCAACTCTGCTGTTCCACAAGTTTGGTATAATGTACAGGAAGGCGTTAAGAATGTTGTTACAGAAACAGGAGCTGGGCAATGGGGATGTAGTTTGGCCTTTGCTTGTAGCTTGTTCGGTATCGGCTGCGAGGTAAGAAGCAATTGTTGTGATCAATATGTAGTATAAACTCGAAGTTATTGATGAAGCAGTTGAATTAAGATGCTGGAAAAATGGTTCAAAACTCAACTTCTTAGTTGCTTCTGTAACATATCATATGAAGTTTATCTTGTTTCCTTAACTAGGTGTGGCAAGTGCGTGCGTCGTATGATCAAAAACCGTATCGTCGAATGATGATGGAAACTTGGGGAGCAAAAGTACACCCATCTCCGTCCAACGTCACGGATTCGGGTAGAAAATTTCTTCAAGTTGACCCATCAAGCCCAGGAAGTTTGGGAATTGCCATTTCAGAAGCTGTGGAGGTTGCAGCTCTCAATGCTGATACCAAGTACTGTTTGGGAAGCGTCCTCAACCATGTCTTGCTTCACCAAACTGTCATTGGTGAAGAGTGTCTAAAACAAATGGAAGCCTTAGGTGAGACCCCAGATGTCATCATAGGATGCACTGGCGGAGGATCGAATTTTGCAGGTCTTAGCTTCCCGTTCCTCCGTGAGAAACTTGCTGGAAAAATAAGCCCCGTTATTCGAGCAGTTGAACCTGCAGCTTGTCCTTCATTAACAAAAGGCGTTTACGCTTATGATTATGGCGATACAGCCGGGATGACGCCATTGATGAAGATGCACACACTTGGTCACAACTTTATTCCCGACCCCATTCACGCTGGTAATGTATAATATGCTATCGAAACTGATACGACGCATTGAACTCTTTGTTTCTTGTCTTGATCATCATCTTGGCTTACTTTTTTTGGTAGGTGGATTGCGGTATCATGGTATGGCTCCATTGATATCACATGTCTATAATCTTGGTCTTCTGGAAGCTGTATCACTTCCCCAGACAGAATGCTTTCAAGGTACCCGAATTTTATCCGAAAGTTAATCGATAGGCGCTCGGGAAATTAAACCAGTTACTGAAAATTTGGCTCTGCATAAGTGACCAACAATGCAACAACTGAGTTTCTGTTTGTTTGCAGGTGCTATACAATTTGCTCGATCGGAGGGACTAATACCAGCACCGGAGCCAACACACGCCATAGCGGAAACGATCCGAGAGGCTCTTCGATGTCGAGAAACCGGAGAATCAAAAGTTATTCTCACAGCCATGTGCGGGCACGGTCACTTCGACTTGGCAGCTTATGAGAAGTATCTACAAGGAGGGATGACAGATCTTTCTTTTGCAGAGGAGAAGATAAAAGAATCACTAACCACCATTCCTCAGCTGGGTTGAAGTCGTCTCTAGTTTCTTCTTTCATAGAGATTACAAGAAATCTTTCATATATTAAGTTGCAAATTTTGTTAATGCTTTTTTTGTTTATGATTTGTCGTATGAAAAATGTTATCAGAATTTGATATAAATAAAATATTTTAAATAATTTTATAACATTAATTAATTACGCGATTCACATAAAAACTTTCGAACTAATATGAGTATAATTCAATCGTATCGGTAAGTAATATTTAATTAAAAATAAAAATAAAATTTTATTAGTTATTTTGCATATTAGAAGACATCTTAAAATTTATTTAAAATATAAATAAGATATTTTTAATCTTAATTGATAAAAATAAAGATTATAGGGAAAAAATTAAAAGAAAAATTCCCAAAATTTAAAAATTGGGGCTCACATTGCGAGTCCCCGGTCTTCTTCTTCTTGCTGAACAGTGGAGTGGGGATTGGCGAAGAAATTCCTCCGGTAGGCCATTTTCCCGTTTGTTTAATTCTCCGATTTCAACCTTCGCCGACGAGTTTCAGGTGCCAACTAATTGTTGCAGGTAAAGCAACCTATCAAAAACGTCATGTTTATCTTCGTTATAATTTCTCGAAAACCCTAAAGTTTTCTTTTGGCTACAACGCCCATGTTCCCCTGCATCAATTTATGTTTTCTAGTTTTTTACGGCACTATTTGATGGAATATGTGATTTCTTTCGTTGGCGACATCAAGAGGTGTTTTTTCTTCATTTACAGCGTGCCAATTTTGGGTTTGGACGTATTGTTGCTGCACATTAAGATTTAGGTTACGAAGTGACTGTTGTTTGTGTTGCATTTGTCATCGTTGTGGCATGATTTGTATACAAGCTTTTTGCTACTTGGTTAGCACCGGTTCTTTGATTTTAGTTGGTTGTTAGTCAATTAAAGTAATGGAGTTGTGGTAAGATTTTCCTTTGATTTACGCAGGTGACTTCTGGCTATTGAAAATGGGTAGTAAAGGTCGTATTCCGCCTCCACATGCAAGGCGTCCTCTTCCAGGTTCTGGTGTCCTGCATCCAGAAGCATTTGGTCATGGGCTACGTCCTCCGCACGGTACTTTTCCTCCCTTTGACATGATGCCTCCTCCAGAAGTAATGGAACAGAAGCTAGCTGGGCAACATGTTGAGATGCAGAAACTCGTCACCGAGAATCAGAGGCTTGCTGCTACCCATGGAACCTTGAGACAAGAGCTTGCTGCTGCGCAGCATGAGCTTCAAATTCTTCATGCTCAAATAGGAGCTGTGAAATCTGAAAGAGAGCAGCAAGCAAGGAATCTTTCTGATAAGATTGCAAAAATGGAATCAGAACTACAAGCTGCTGAGCCAATTAAGTTAGAGTTGCAGCAAGCAAAATCAGATGCTCAGAACTTGATTGTAGCAAGGCAGGAGCTTATTACGAGAGTGCAACATTTGACCCAAGACCTCCAGAGGGCCCATGGAGACGTGCAGCAGGTTCCGGTTTTGATGTCAGAACTCGAGAGTTTGAGGCAGGAATATCAGCATTGTAGGTGCGTAATCTGTATAGCATTTAACTTTAGAGGGACTTTTTAGGATTTCACATAACTACGTATGTTAGTTCATGTGTAGGATGTCCTGTGAATTCAATCAAGTTCAGTCTTCGACTCCTACGGTTCAGTTTCTTTGCATTTATAACTAGGCCTCTGGCTTGTGGTTATAGAGGCTGTCCTAGCTTGACTTGTTTCCTTAGCTATTTCTTAAAGGCTTATGTATTCTGTTTATAAATGTTAAGCCTAACTGCATTGTCTATCCTTTACTGGACCAGAGTTTGATCATAATGTGCTTCAGGGGTTATGTTTCTTGCTTGTAAAATGACATGACCTTGCTATTGACCTTGCAGGGCGACCTATGACTATGAGAAAAAATTATACAATGATCATCTTGAGTCACTTCAGGTGATGGAAAAGAATTATATCACTATGGCTAGGGAACTGGAGAAGCTTAGGGCAGAGTTGACGAATACTGCTAGTCTAGAAAGAAGACATGGTACTCTTGCTTGCCTCTATGTCACTTTCTGTTGGATTATCTTATCCTTCTCGAATTTTTCTCCATTGACAACTGATATCTGACGACTGCACGTAGGTGGGCCTTATGGTACTACCCAAAACAACGAGATAGAAGCTTCTGGGAATCCAGCTGGACAAAATACTTATGAAGACGGCTATGGTGTTGCCCTGGTTAGTCACATATTCCACTTTCTAGTTTTCATGAGCTGATATGTTTGAATTTATAGTCCTCTCTTTTTGTATGTTTCTTACTATTTTGATTTAAAAGGAGAAACACCTTTTGATGGGCTATGAGGTCTCTTTCCTATCCACGTTTTATCTAGGCTTTCCTTTGAGTCATGATCCGTGTCTCCGTGGTTTTGGGACCCATTTGTTGAGAAGGTTCAGAAATGTTCATCTTTCTCTTGGGAAGCTTTCATCTCTAGGAGGAGGAGACTTGTTTTGATCCAACCTATACTTTCTTCTTTCTTTTAATTTTCTTTTTCTAGGAAGAAACCAAGTTTTCATTGAGGAAAACTGTAAGGATAATAAGCAAACAAAAAGGCCTAGGAAAATACAGCTCAACAAAAAGAGCCACTAAGCTAACCATACAAAAAGGGTCTCCAATCACATTTATACTCTTCCCTTGTATATACAGAAAGGCCGGATTCTTCGGCTGGCTAGTTGCCCATGGAAGGTTAAACACCTTCAACCGTATCTAAGACTCCTCTTCTATAGTTTTGGGTCCTATGCTTTGTTCGAACATGTCATATGACTCGAACCGCAAGATTTGGATCACATTTTATGAAGACACGACTTTACCGTGAAGATTTAGGTTAGCTTTTGGTACTTCTTTGGTTTTAGTTTGGCATCAAACAGAACTGTTCGTCACTACGTTGTTTTGTAAATCTTCTTTAGTTTTGATTCTAAACCATTGGAGCATCCTTGGTAATTTTGGCCCTGTTTCATTTGGGCTTGTGTTTCTGCACATCCTTTTTATTTCCCTTTCAAGCTATCACTATGTATGAGTATATTAGTTAGACATTTCAATGGTTAATATCATGCCTCTCATGTTTGTGCTTTTTGAGGTTTTTTTTTTTTTTTTTTAGTTTCTAAAATTTTAAAAGTGTGTAATAAGTCCTTAAACTTTTCATTTTATTTTTCTTAATTATTTGTTGTTGAAAATGTGCAATAGGGACGTGGCCTGCTGCCTGCTACTGCAGGTGGTGCATCCAGTGCGGGTGCGACGGCATACACAGGACCTCAAACTGGTTCTACTGCAACCCGACCCAACTACGATGCAGCAAGAGGTACCCAACGAGGATCTGGTTACGAAGGAGCAAGAGGATCCATTTACGATTCACAGAGACCTGGTTATGATGGACAAAGAGGACCAGGTTACAATGTGCCTGGGCTACCTACTTATGATGCACCTAGGGGAGGAGCTGGCTATGATGCTCAATCTAGAGGTGTGGGGGGACATGCTGCGCCTGGAAACACCGCTCCGTATGGGTCTTCAACACCGCCTGTTCGTGGTGGCGGAGGAAACCCCGGCCGGAGATGAGCCAAAGGTACCATTTGAGAGATAATCTTATGTAGTGTTTTCTCATCAGCCTTAGTTGTCATCATCTGTTGTGCCATTCCCCCAAATTTGCAACGCCTTTTTTTTTCATTGCTACTCCAATCTGTCAACATTGATGGTAAGTTTATTATCAAATGCAGTTACTTGACAAACTTGGAATGAAATCATTGGAGCACCTTACTGAAATCAACGTCAAAATCATATCTGGTTTAGTGATTCATCATTTTCAGCTGTCTAATCAATGAAACTTCACGTGATGAACTAAGAAAATCGACTAAATTTCAATTTCTAATCATTCTTCTTTCCCTTCTGTTTATTGAATTTTATTAGTGGGATATGATATGTTATGTTGGATGGTTTACTTTATGAAACTTCCATAAATACAAGTTTAGTTGTATCCAAAAATAAAGTATAACTTAATCGATGAACAGATGAAAGATATCTATGATCGAATAATTTATCGACAATGAAAGAAGAGACGTTATTGAACCAAAAAGTTAAATAAAACCAACCCAATCAATGATATATTATATAGCAACCTAGCTGTCATGACAACAAAAAAAAGAGCATTATTTGTGAAGGAAAATCCAAATGAAATTGGGTTTCAATCAATCTATCATTCATGGAGCCTCTCTCCCTTGCCATTGTCTGAACTTTTCAAGGCTTTATTCTTTACATTTCACCTTCTTTTTAGCTCAGTCAATGCCTCTCGCTATTCATCAGGGAATGGATAAGAAACTTGGCTCATGAGTTTGCCTATTATAAAGCAAAAGAACAGCCAAGGAAATGCCCAAGCCTTTAGATCACCCTTTATTCATAACCCACTTTTCTAAAAGCCACAACCTTCACGAACTTTAATCAAAGAAGTGAGATTTTCGAGGATACAACACATACTACTCAAACACATCTCGGATCGACTCGACGAATCAAATGCCATAATGATTCCGTTCCTAGTAGTATCAATGATACAAGTCAGATCCTAATCCCCTTCTTCATCGAAAGAAGTGAGAATGTCTACTCGTTTCGACACATCTCAGGATCCATAATCTCGAGACTATGTTCGTCTCTCGATTCTATAATCATTGCTCTCTCTCTCTCATATCATTATAAAACTTCCCCCATCTTTGTTTCTCCTCAACTTTTTCCACCATTTCTGAGGCTTTTCTCCATGAATCTCCATGGAAACGAGGTTCCCTTGGGGAAAAACTACACCCTCAACAAAACATTAGCCATAGTGTTCACTCTTGTGATACTCACAGTGATTCCCCTGTTATACAATCTTGTAGATTACTACTCTGTTTTCCTCCTCAACAGCTCCCCCAAGTCCCCATCTGATTCTTACTCAAGCATTGAAGAGGGTGAAGAGCTTCAGCCATTGCCAATCCAAGAAGAGGAATGTGACCTTTTCACAGGCGAATGGATACCCAATCCCAATGCTCCATATTACACAAGCTCCTCTTGTTGGGCCATTCACGAGCACCAAAATTGCATGAAATATGGACGCCCTGATGGCGGCTTCATGCAATGGCGATGGAAGCCTGATGACTGTGACCTCCCCATTTTCAATCCTTCTCAGTTTCTTGAGCTTATGAGAGGTAAATCTTTGGCTTTTGTTGGTGACTCTGTTGGAAGAAACCAAATGCAGTCTTTGATATGCCTTATTTCCCGGGTACGATCCAACTTTTAACTTTTTAAATTCATATTTGTATATCATAATGTCTTCTTAATTACTCATATTAGCTCTTTGATGTTTGTTAACCGAGTAGAATTATTTTTATATTATGTTTGAAAAGAAAAAAAGAAAGTTAGGGGAATCTTTTGAAGAGTTGTGAGAAGGGAAGAAGGTAAGATGCATGTGACTCTCTCTCTCTCTCTCATCCTTTTTCAATTTTGATTCTTTGTTCCATATTTCTTCTTCTCCGCTTCCATATCTATAAGATTATATTCTCTGTCTCTGCCTGTTATGTCCTCTCTCTCTAACCAAATCTTTGTTAGCCCTCTCACATAGATAAATGGGTCACGATTGTATTCTTTGTCTTTGCCTAAATCTTTGTTATCACGGTATATTTTCTGCCTAAATCTTTGTTAGTCTTCCCACTATCTTTGTTATGGGTCACGGGACACGATTATGTTTTTTTTGCCTAAATTTTTGTTAACGGGTTAGAGACAATATTATATTATTTGCCTAAATATTGGCTACATGTTTGTTAGTCCCATTTATTTACATTTTTAATAAATATTTTATTAAAAAGTGAACTTTTAACTTATCTACCGTTTTTAATAAATATTTCAAAGTGAACTTTAACCTAACCATTTTTTTTAGAAAAATAATAAAAAAAATTATCACGAAACCATCTCCAAATGGGAAATGAATGAAATAGGTGATTGGAAAAGGTTTCACCGTCTCCGCCCCACCTTATTTTTTTTCTCTTGTTCTCGGGAGGACTCAAACTTCCGACCTTTTACTTGAGACCTCGTGTCTTAGCCAATCTAAACTATTAGATAGGTTAATAGCTCAGTCACTCAAATTGTTTAGTTTATTTTATTTTATTTCTTCAATTTCATAAATTTTCAAATATTCTAAAAAAAAAACTATTTTCATTACATATTTCTATTGAAATAATTTAACAAAAAAATCACACTTATTCATATTATTTCATTAAATAAAAATAATAAAAGATATATGTATCTCCTTTTAGTTAAATAATTTAGTAATAAAAATAAACATTAATTTGTTTTGACATATATGGCAGCATCTGTCATAAGAATAATCTAACTAAAAAACCCTTTAATTTAAAAATAAAAATAAATAAATTTCTTTGCAGCAAATAAAATCTGAATTTAAATTAAAATATTATATATATATATATATATATTTCTCTCTCTGACAATTTTGGCGACAATGTCAGAATATAAATGAAATATTACAAACATTTGACCAACAAACTTTTTTGTGCTTCATATTATTTGTTTTTTAAATTAAATAAAAATTTAGGGAAACTAATTATAATTATTAGCTCTTGTGAGTAGGGATCATGATTTTTCATAATAATATTGCTTTTTTTTTTTTAATTTATGGAGAGAGAAAAAAAATGTAATTATGAAATTAAAATAACTAAAATTGAGTTATTTAAATATTAAATTTTTTTTTTCATTTTTTTCGAGTTGTCTATAAAAATTATGATAATTTTTTAATAATTAAAAAATATTTTTGTTTGATTAATTGTGGAGACGATGGTGTTTCTCAGGTGGAATATCCGATTGATGTGTCGTACACGGCGGACGATAATTTCAAGAGATGGAGTTACGAACGCTACAACTTCACCATGGCCATTTTCTGGACCCCTCATCTCACCAGAGCCGCCATCGGGGACACCGACGGCCCCACCAAAACTGGTCTCTTCAATCTCTACTTGGATGAGTACGACGTAGAATGGACTACTAAGATCGACGAATTCGACTACATCATCATCTCCGGCGGCCACTGGTTCTTCCGTCCTATGGTTTACTACGAAAACCACCGCATCGTCGGCTGCCATTACTGTCTCCTCCCGAACGTAACTGATCTCGGGATGTATTATGGTTATCGAAAGGCCTTCCGAACCGCCTTTAAGGCTATAAACAGCTTGAAGAATTTCAAAGGGATGACGATTTTAAGGACCTTCGCGCCGTCGCATTTCGAGAATGGACTGTGGAATCAGGGCGGGAATTGCTTGAGGACGAAGCCGTTTCGAAGTAACGAGACGCAATTGGAGGGATCTGATCTGGAGTTCTACATGATTCAGATGGAGGAATTCAAGACCGCGGAAAGGGAAGGACGAAAAAGAGGGCTGAAATTTAGGGTTCTTGATACGACTCAAGCTATGCTGCTGAGGCCGGATGGGCATCCTAGCAGGTACGGTCATTCTTCTACTGAAAATGTGACTTTGTATAATGATTGTGTGCATTGGTGCTTGCCTGGCCCCATTGATGCTTGGAGTGATTTCTTGCTTGAGATGTTGAAGATGGAAGGGATTAGATCATTCAGGGATAGGCTAGAGTTTGGTTAGATGGGGAAAGAGGCAGTTCTTATTCATTTTTCAATCTTTTTCCTGAAGGTGTTTTTTTACTTCTGAATTCATATTGTTGTTGTTCTGTGATTTGTATGATTGTATCATTGTTCATTTATAAGTTGTATGTATGTAATTAGACATTGTGAAAGGAGTATTAAGAACATAATTTCATTGAGCAACTTAAGTTATTTGCCTTTGCTTTCTGTAGAGATAATATTATGCAAGTTGCCATCATCAGATTTTATACGTGTAGATCTCTACATCTAATGGACTTAATACTCATTCCAAATCATTCATATACTTTTCAATTACTTTCATGATCTCTTCCCTGAGAGATATGAGAAGAGTACAATGTTCGGTGTTTTTTTAGCATTATATCTGTGAGATCTCACATTGGTTGGAGAGGAGAACTATTTATAAGGCTGTAGAAACCTCTTCCTAACAGACTGGTTTAAAATCGTGAGGCTAACTGCAATATGTAACATGGCTTGGCTTGAGTTGTTACAAATGGTATTAGAGCCACACCGGGCGGTGAGCTAGCAAGGCCGCTGGGCCACCAAGGAGGGTGGATTGTGAGATCCCACGTTGGTTGGGGAGGGGAGCGAAACATTCTTTATAAAGGTGTGAAACCTCTTCCTAACAGACGTGTTTTAAAACCGTGAGGCTGAGGACGATACGTAATGGACCAAAGTGGACAATATCTATTAGCAGTGAGCTTGGGCTATTACAAATGGTATTAGAGTCAGACATCGGGCAGTGTGCCAATGAGGACGCTGGCCCCCAAGGAGGGTGGATTGTGAGTTCTCACATTGGTTGGAGAGGGGAACAATAAGGGTGTGGAAACCTCTCTCTAATAAATGCGATTAAAAATCGTGAGGCTAACGACCACGGGTCAAAGTGGACAATATCTACTAGTGGTGGACTTGGACTTGGACTGTTACAACGAGGATGCTGGCTCTGCTAATCCGTTGTACGAGTTTTTTGTAACGAGGGTTTGAATCCCTCTCTTTCCCTTTCAGTCAATTGGTATTTTTTCATAGTTTAGGAAAGATGGTGAATAAATAAAAATTTTAGAACATTTCAAAATCAAGTAAGGAAAAAAAATCATTTTTTTATCCTTCACGTCCCGAATACCGAAAATGAAAAGAGAAACAAAGACTATTTATTTGATCAATAGATAGATAAACTGAAAAAATCATAACTATAATATACAATAAAATACTCGGAAAAGACCACATACGTCGAAGGTTTTTGGTTGCGGCGGAAAAAGTAGAAGTCCCACTCTTATTAAGATAAGAATTGGAAGTGAGATAACGGGCCAAGCCGGACAATATCTACTAGTAGTGGACTTGAGCTCTTACAGTATTGGCTCTACTCCACACCATGTCGCCAAGAACAAAAGAAGGATCACAACTCCTTGCATGTAAAATCTAAAACCCAATGGCTATATTTTTTAATCCAAGAAGATTCTATTCTTTCACAAACGTTGTTAATTCAGACTCTACCTTGGTTCATTGACCTTCATTAGCCATTATTTGAGTCATTATTCCAGTAAATCTCAGTGTAAAGAAAATCAATATCCCATTACAAAGAAGCAATGATTAAACAGACAAACCTTCATTGCTACGCCAAGTTTTTATCACTCTGCTCCCAACATAATCATCAACAGCCTCTATCACTTGTAGACCACACAACAAGCCGATGATTCAGCCCCTACGCTATGAGGTGTCTCAATATTGAAACTATTTCTATGATTGCTTCAAGTATTTAGCTTAAGTATGAAACCTTACTTGAATTGGTTAATTGACCTTCATTAACCATTATATATTCAGACCTCTGCTATGAGAGAGTTATATCATATATGAGTGAAGACATTTGGTATCTCAACATGAAGCTTCATACTTTTGAGGCTCCAAGTGGAAACAAATCAGTGCTGTGGAATTTCCACAAAGGGCTTCTGCTTGCTCTGACACTGATTCTTCTTACCATCATTCCTCCTTTGTCTACAAACAAGAACTTGCCTTCATCACTGCCAAATATCTGGAAAAACACCACCAGCTTGAAGATAGTGGAGTTAGAGAAGCAATGTGACTTGTTTCGTGGCAGTTGGGTACCGAAATCCGAGCTGCCATACTACACGAACGACACGTGTGACATGATGTTTGAATATCAAAACTGTTTGAAGTTTGGAAGAACAGACAGAGAATTCTTGAAGTGGAGGTGGAAGCCAGATGAATGTGAGCTTCCTCTCTTTGATTCTACTCAGTTCTTGGAAATTGTTAAAGGGAAATCGCTTGCTTTCGTTGGAGACTCGGTTGCTCGAAATCATATGCAGTCGCTGTTGTGTCTCCTCTCCAATGTAAGCTCATTCTCCAAACACTTTAAAACTTTCCCTTTTATTAATTGTCTGTTGTATATGCTGCAGGGATCTCATCCAGAAGATGTTTCTCTTAAATACAACCTAACATATGATTTCAAAAGGTGGTTCTTTGCTGATTACAATTTCACAGTGGCAAGATTCTGGTCACCATTTTTGGTTAAAAGCAGGGATGCAGACCAGAATGGTTTCTCCTCCAACAGCCTCATGAATCTATACTTGGATGAAGCAGACCAATCCTGGACTTCCGCCATTGAATCTTTCGACTACGTCGTCTTCTCAGCAGGACAGTGGTTCTTTCGCCCTCAAGTATACTACGAAAATGGTCGAATCATAGGATGCTTCAATTGCCAGAAAAGTAATGTCACACAGCTTATGAACTACTATGGCTATGGGAAAGTCTTCCAAACTGCCTTTAGGACGATTATGAGCCTCAAAGGCTACAAAGGAGTGACATTAATGAGGACGTTTTCTCCCTCGCACTTCGAAAATGGCGAATGGAACAAAGGAGGGAACTGTGCAAGGACAAGGCCATTTACAAAGGAAGAGACGAAGCGGGAAAGTTATGTGTTTGAGTTGCATAAGGCTCAGGTGGAAGAATTTAAAGCAGCAGAAAAGGAGGGGATGAAGAGAGGCTTGCAATTCAGGCTGTTGGACACAACGGAAGCCATGCTGATGAGACCAGATGGGCATCCAAACCATTATTCTCCTCCTAGGAAAGAGAATGTAGCTGACTGTGTGCACTGGTGCTTGCCAGGCCCCATTGACACATGGAATGAGTTCTTACTCTCTATACTGAAAACAGTAAGGAAAGATACTCACTGAGAACGTATTAGATGAGTTCTGTTAAAAATTACTGTTTTTTACATATGATCCATACTGTAATATCAATGCATTTGTTTCTATGAATTACTCCAGATTCTTTGTTGGGTGGCCATTAAGAACTAGAAAGTTGGCATAGTTTGTGGTTCATTCTTTAATCAGTGGGATTAAGACTAATCCAAATTAGGGACTGGCAAGAACAAATTAAGAAAAAGAACCTTTTAACTAAACAGGTTTAAATAAATAAAAGCATCTTCTGTGTAGATTGTGTTGCAAAAAATAGGTTCATTTTGTTGTACACTCAACATGTTCATTCTCTTAGATTCAAGGAATCACAGATGATCTCTTTTGTAGGTAAAGCAATGGAGGATCCCATGATCCCTTCCTTTTCTTGACAGGAAACACCTATGGGCTGTTCATAGCTTGCAATCACCGGATTCTTTCATGTTTGAAACTATAAAAAGTGAGTATATATACCTTGTATATCTCAATCACAATCATACTAAAAGTTTCAATCTTTCTGCAGATCCCATGTTCAAGAAGATTGAAAGAGAACTCAGGCGGGTTACCAAAGGGAAACGCAGTTCTCCTCCGCCGCGCCTTCCACCACCACCACCAACTTCTCCTCCTCCTCCTCCTCCTCCTCCACCTCCACCACCACCAGAGCCCCCCCAGTCACCGCCGCCAGAGCCTTCTCAAAATCCATCAGAACCCACTCCATTCCTATTTCCTTCAACTCACTCCACAGTCCTCCCTGATCCTTCACTTTTCTTTTCCCCTGAACTCCTCTCAGCTCCTCTCCCTACAAACAGTTTCTTCCAGAACTTTACACTCAATAATGGTGACCAACCTGAGTTCATCCATCCTTATTTGATCAAATCCTCTTTGTCCTCCGTTTCTGTTTCCTACCCATCAATCTCCTCCAACTCTGCTTCAATATGCCAAGTTTTCACGCCTGATCTCACCATCTCTCCCTCTGATAAAATAGACCCACTTCCCCAGAAATCTCATGTAATCTCCTCATTCAATGATTTGAATGTCACTTTGGATATTCCTTCCTCCAACCTCCGTTTCTATCTCGTCCGGGGAAGCCCCTTTCTGACTTTCACAGTTTCCAAAGGGGTCGCCTTTTCAATCTCCACCATTCATGAAGTCATCTCCTTTTCCTTTAACAATGCACTCACCAAATACACAATAAAATTGAAAAACAATCAGACATGGATTATTTACTCCTCGCTTCCCATCAATTTGACGCATAGTCTTTCTGTGATTACTTCTGGGGGATATGCAGGAATCATTAGAATTGCAGCATTGCCAAATAATGACCCGGAATGTGAACCGATACTTGACCGGTTTAGTTCGTGTTACCCCGTGTCAGGCGAGGTACGATTTACAAAGCCATTTTGTTTGGAATACAAATGGGAGACGAAAGGGTGGGGGGATTTGCTCATGCTTGCACACCCTCTGCATCTTCGTCTCCTAGCAGGTACTGATAAAGATGTAGTCATTTTAGATAAGTTCAAGTATAGAAGTATAGATGGTGAGCTGGTTGGTGTGGTGGGAAGTTCATGGGCTTTGAAACCAGAACCTATTTTAGTAAGCTGGCATTCAATGAAGGGTGTAGAGGAAGAATCCTTTACTGATATCATTTCTGCACTTGATAAAGATATTGAGTCTCTAAATTCAACAACTATGACAACAAAATCTCCTTATTCATATGGGAAATTGATAGCAAGAGCAGCAAGGTTGGCAGTGATTGCTGAAGAAGTGAGATATCTTCAAGTACTTCCAGACATAAGAAAGTTTCTAATGGGCGCAATTGAGCCTTGGTTAAATGGGACACTGGAGGGGAATGGCTTTGTATATGATGAAAAGTGGGGTGGAATTATCAGCAAAGAAGGGTCCTTTCATTCTGGTGCAGACTTCGGATTTGGAATATATAACAATCACCACCATACTCTGGGCTACTTTTTCTATGCCATTGCTGTGCTAGTGAAAATCGACCCCGCTTGGGGGAGAAAGTACAGCCCTCAAGTTTATGCTCTTATGGCAGACATCATGAACTTGAGCAGGCGATCCAATTCAAAGTTCCCAAGGCTGAGATGTTTTGATGCGTATAAATTGCACTCTTGGGGTACAGGATTGGCTGAGTTCATGGATGGCCGGAGTCAAGAGAGCATCAGTGAAGCAGTAAATGCTTACTATTCTGCAGCGTTGGTGGGGCTAGCCTATGGAGACGCCGACCTTGTATCCATTGGCGCTACGCTAGCAGCGCTGGAGATTAAAGCAGGCCAAATGTGGTGGCAAGTAAGGGAAGGACAAGCTTTGTACGAGGAAGAATTTGTCAAGGAAAACAGGTTGGTCGGAGTGTTGTGGTCTAACAAGAGAGACAGTGGCTTATGGTTTGGTCCTGGTGAATGGAAAGAGTGCAGGCTTGGAATCCAGGTGCTGCCCATGTTGCCCATCACTGAGCTGCTGCTATCAGATGTTGGGTTTGTGAGAGAGGCTGTGAACTGGGCGTTGCCTTCTCTGGGAAGAGAAGGAGTTGGGGAAGGATGGAAAGGCTTTGTTTATGGCATGGAAAGCGTTTATGATAAAGCTGGTGCCTTGCAGAAGATTAGGAACTTGGAAGCTTTTGATGATGGAAACTCACTTACCAACCTGTTATGGTGGGTTCATAGTAGAGTCAAAGAAGGAGAAGCTAATATCAGCTGCACCAAAGTGCAGCTACTTTAGCACCAAATTTCTCTTATTCAGATCAATGTCAACTTGTATACATAAACAAATAAAAAAATCAAGCTCCGACTGATTTGACTTGTTACGTATCGCCATGATTTTTAAAACGCGTCTTGTAAGAAGAGTTTTCGAGGTTTTCACTCCCTTATAAGGGATAAAGAGGGCCTAACGTCCTCACTGTTACACCGAACGCTAAGCACACCAACCAATGTAGGATCTCGTAATCCACTCTCGGTGGTGGCCCAACGTCCTCGCTGACACACCAATCGAGATATGGGATCTCACAATCCACTCTCCTTGGGGCTAGTGTCCTCGCTGGCAAATGCTATTAACCCCATGGTTTTTAAAACGCTTCTATTAAGAAAATGTTTCTACATTCTTATAAAGAATTCGCTGGTACTTGTTAGCCTCATGATTTTTAAAATGCCCTTATTAGTAGGGGCGTCCGGGTTGGAGGATTTTTTTGACCCAACCCAAAAGTCTACTTTCGGGTTGGGTCCGTGAATCAATCCATGACAAAAAAAAAAAAAAAAAAAAATCAATAAAAAACGTCAAACTCGGATGTGAGCGTCTTTGGACTAGCTACAATACCACTCTGACAAACCCATTAATACTTAAAGATTCTTTATATATTTTATTGGGCTCGGGTCAACCCGAAGGTTTGGTCCACGAACTCGAAACCGAACCAATTTAATTCGGGTTAAGAAAAATGAACCCAGCCCTACCCGAAATGCTAATCTAACCCAACCCAACTCTTATAGTTCAGGTTAGGTTGGTCTGGATTGTCGGGTTTCCACGTCCTTATAAATAATGTTTCGTCCCCAACGAGATCTCACCCCAATCATTATTGACATTTTATAGTTAGTTGTCGACTTCTTTCTTTTCATTTTTTTCTTATACAAGAATATTTCTTGTGCACTTTTTTATTTTTTAATAATTAAAATTAAATCCAATAAATGAGTAGATAATAGAACAATATTTTTTCAAATCTAAAATTTTACCTTTAAGGGAAAATGTCAAAATTGTAAAATTGAATCAAATAATTGATTCCAGTTCATTTCAATTCATCTTTTATTTTCATTGAATATTGAAATAAAATAATTATGGTCAACAGTAATTATTAATATTTAAATAAATTTTGGACAGATTTAGTGCCCATATTTTATTCCTTTTGACTAATTCAAGTGAAGCTGATTTTCTTTTTTAGAAATCATATTTATTTATTTTATTTTTCATTAAACACTCTCTTATTTATTTATTTATTTATTTTCATTTTACATTACGAATATTTATTAATTTATTTGTCAAACTATACCAAACTTTTTTTTTTGAAATAACCGCCAAACAAATATATTAGTCGAAAAAAAAGAAGTAATTCCAAAACAATCGTCATTACTTTATTTTATTTTCTCGAAATTTGTATCTAAAGAAATTGAAATTTACTTCACAATTAAGTTATTAATTATTTTTAAATTCTATATATGTATGACTATGAACATAATTTATATAAAAAAAATATACTTTCAAAATTATTAAATTTAGTTTTTACAAAATTTATATTTATATTTAACAGAGTAATTAATTTTTGAAATATAAAAAAAACATATAAACACTTTTAAAAGCTGAGTTTGAAGAATTAAACGACGAATTTAACTCAACTTTGGCTTAGAACATTTTCCGGAAGAACAGATAACAGAGATCAAGAACAATAATTGACGATTGCTTCATAGAAATAAAGCAAAATTTTTTTGGGAATGGGATATAATTTTTTTTTTTTTTTTTTTTTTTTTTTTTTTTTGTGATAATGATGGAAGAGAAAAAAGTATGAGTATAAGATGAAAAGTAGATGGAGATAAATGGTAAGTGATGATGATACTGAAAACAGAGATTTTGATTTGGTTTGATAGCAACGCTTAATCCGTTCATTGGCCTCCCCCTCTGCATGTGCGAGCTGAAGATTGGCTCCAGCAAGTTGCCCCCGCGTTTTCTGAAACCGCCCGCTCTATGATCCACTGAAGAACCAAATATTTTTGCGGTTACTGAGTGGACTTTACAGATTCCATTTTCGACCTTCGAAACTTGGTCGCCGGAGGGAGTTTTCTTCGCTTCAGCGACAGGTACGAGCTCTGTTTTTTCAGTTTCTGACTATTTACTGATGTGTGGTTGCTGCATTTTGTCGAATTCGACATCGGTTTTCTTTTAGTTTAGATTTGAGGATTGTTGTTTTCATGGTTTTTTGTTGGTGTTTGTTTGAAGTTCTTCGTTTAGGGTGTACTGATTCAGTGTTTTTGATGTGGATTCTGTCAATTTGAAGCGATTTGGATGAGATTGGTGATATGGATTTGGATTACATTGTGAGGTTTATGTTTAAAATGATTTTCGAATCGGGAATGGAAGTGTAGTGTACTGGATTTTGTGCTTGTTTAAGGGTCTGTGAATTGGACTATGGCTTCACCTTCTCCTTCTCCGGCGGCGGAGTCTGCCATATCTTCCTCATCTCCTACATCTTCTGAGCCTAATCAGTCCGGTGAACCTCCTTCATCATCTTCTAGTTCTTCAGCTCCGCCTCCTCAGTCACCACCACCAGCAGTTTCTGATGCTCCTCCACCTTCTCCTCCATTGTTAGCATCACCACCTGCACCACCAATATCCCCTCCTTCTCCCCTTGCTGGTTCACCGTCTTCGCCTCCGCAATCTTCGCCCTCACCGCCGCCACCTTCAGCATCAACCTCCCCACCACCACATTCAGCATCCTCCTCTGCACCACCACCTTCAACATCAACCTCTGCACCACCGCCTTCAACATCAACCTCTGCACCACCGCCTTCAACATCAACCTCTGCACCTCCGCCTTCAACATCAACCTCTGCACCTCCGCCTTCAACATCGACCTCTCCACCACCGCCTTCAAGATCAACCTCTCCACCACCACGTTCATCAACATCACCACCACCTTCCTCTGCATCACCTCCTCCCCCAAAACAATCCGTTTCCTATCCTCCTCCTCCCGAAGCTTCACCTCCCCCTTCTGATTTATCACCTCCGCCGCCGACACCACCAGCAGGTGGTTCTCCCCCTCCTCTATCCAATCCTAGACCTCCATCTTCTACTCCCCCTCCCCCTGATATTATTTCACCTTCTCCTCCTCCATCAGCTAATGTCCCAACACCACCTTCATCAACAGGAGAATCACCTAAAGTATCTCCTCCATCCCACAAGGCATCTCCTCCTCCTCCTGATCATAGCTCCCCTCCACCAAGATCTACAGTACCATCGCCCCCTCCTTCTTCAGTCCCTTCATTATCTGCTCCTCCTCCAGTTAGTGATCCTGGTTTTCCAACCAATTCATCAGGGGGAAGTCCTGTTACCCCTTCAACTTCTGTTACACCAGAATGGCCAATTCCAATAATCAATGGTACCAGTGTTGCAACAAATACCCCAACCACTGGTAAAAGGGGTTTCAGCACTGGAACATTTGTGGCAGTTGGCAGCGTGGTTGGTGTTCTAGTGCTGAGTCTTGTTATCATGGCAATTTGGTTTGTTCAGAAACGGAAGAGAAGAAAGAAGAATATCCCTTACACCGTGCCTTCTCCTTTTTCCTCCCAAAACTCAGGTACTGCATTTGAACTCTGAATCTTAATATCGTTCTGTTGTACTGGCCTGGGCTACATGGCACCACAGCATCAATTCTCTTGAAGAATTATTTGGAGAGTTGCCATAACATTATGAATACTGATGAATGTTCATGTATCTCCAGATGCCTTTTTCCTAAGAGCCCATTCTTTTGCTAATGTGGTTGGAAGTCGAACCGATAGCGATTTCAAGTATGCGTCATCAGAAGGAGGTGGAGTAGGTAATTCAAGATCGTTTGCTTATGAAGAGCTACACCAGGCCACAAGTGGGTTTTCATTGAATAGTCTTTTGGGGGAAGGTGGATTTGGTTGTGTGTACAGAGGCACCCTTGCAGATGGACGAGATGTAGCCGTTAAACAACTTAAAGTGGGTGGTGGACAGGGAGAACGAGAGTTCAGAGCTGAAGTTGAAATTATTAGCCGAGTACACCATCGACATTTGGTTTCCCTGGTTGGTTACTGTATCTCTGACCATCAAAGATTGCTTGTCTATGACTATGTTCCAAACAATACCCTTCATTATCATCTGCACGGTAAGATATACTTTATGAATGCTGTTGAAATGTCTTGAGAATTCTTATATCTTGCTTTTTTGTCTCTTAATGGCTAATGTCATGCCCACTGTGGTGCTTTCTCAATGTTTTTTTCTACATAGTTTGCTGCATAATACCCTTGTAAAGAAAAACAACGACAATACTCATGGAAAATTTTAATTTTAGGTGAAAACAGGACAGTTTTGGCTTGGGCTTCACGTGTTCGAATTGCTTCTGGTGCAGCCCGGGGAATCGCTTACCTACATGAAGATTGTAAGTTTCTCCCTTTGGACATTGTCAGTAAAGTATATTCGTAACAAGCCCAAGCCCACTGCTAACAAATATTGTCCTCTTCGGGCCTTCTCTTCTAGACTTCCCTCAAGATTTTTAAAACGCGTATGTTGAGGAAAGGTTTCCACACCCTTCTAAAAAATGTTTCGTTTCCCTCTCCAATCGATGTGGGAACTCACAATCCACTCCCCTTCGGGGCCAGCGTCCTCGTTGTGGCACACTGCCTAGTGTCTGGCTTTGATACCATTTGTAACAGCCCAAGCCCACCAATAGCAAATATTGTCCTCTTGGGTTTTTTCTCTCGGGCTTCCCCTCAAGGTTTTTAAAATGCGTCTACTAGGGAGAGGTTTCCACACCTTTGTAAAGAATGTTTCGTTCCCCTCTCCAATCGATGTGAATTAGTCCCGTAGTTGCATCATTCTCATCAACATATCTTGTTATGGTGCTTCCATTCGAAAGAAATCTAGTTAGATTTTAGTAACCGTAGGTCTTCTCTCCAAGCATTTGATTTCTTCTTTGACTTCTCTAAATATTTTTCAACTATTCCTCTCAGTATTATGGTGATTCTTACCAGGTCATCCACGCATTATTCACAGGGATATTAAATCGTCTAACATTCTGCTTGATATCAACTTCGAAGCTCAGGTAATTTGCTAGAATTCTTTTGAGATGCTGTGACAATTGTTGCCACCAAAACTATAGTTTGTGAATTATGCTGAGAAAAAACCAAAGCATTTTCCATTATAAGCATAGAGATTACAATGAACAAGCAAAAAGACTGCCTGCCCCATCAATCACAGGCCTTCACAATTTTTTTTTCATATCATCAGACATTCTGATGGAATGGCCATGTCATTTTTCTCTTGGGCTGGAAAGGATTTTATTTAGTGATAGCTATCTGATTTGATTGAACTTCTTGAGGACTAACATAAGCTCGTGATAGGTGTAGTCCGATGTTTCCCCAACTGTTTGCACTTTTAGTTCTTCATCGTTTGCTTCTGATATCGTGTGCTCTACCGCTAACAGGTCGCAGATTTCGGGCTTGCTAAATTGGCGTTGGATTCACTGACTCATGTAACGACTCGTGTTATGGGAACCTTTGGGTATGTCACTAAGAGTACTCATGTTTCATTTTCTTAGGAGCAAGTTGCTATACTTATGCACTCTCTTTTCTTGATAGCCGGGCTTTAAGTACGTAAGTGCTGGCTTACTCTTGCTTATGTTTTCTTTAAAACTTTCAAACAACAACGCTTAATCTGTTCAGATACATGGCGCCAGAGTACGCTACAAGTGGGAAATTGACTGATAAATCTGATGTTTTCTCTTTTGGGGTTGTACTTTTGGAGTTAATTACTGGTCGCAAGTCTGTAGATTCTTCTCAGCCTTTGGGAGATGAGAGCTTAGTTGAATGGGTAAGTCGTCTCTATCTTATCTTCTTTCTTGCTATATAAATAGGCAACTTGTAAAACTAAAGCTCTCAGTCTTCACCGCTAGCAGATATTGTCTTCTTTAGACTTTTTCTTTTGAGATTTCTTTCAAAGTTATAAAACACGTTAGTTAGGGAGAGGTTTCCACACCCTTATAAGAAATGTTTCGTTCTCCTCTCCAACCGATGTAGGATCTCACACTCAGTTTATTTGTTTCAATATTTGCTTCTTTTAAAGAATAAAAAAGAAACAAAGCAATAATGGAGAAAGCTGAAACGGGTATTCGATCTTCGGAGTGTTGAATTATCGAACTCTCTCAAGACCTTCTTTATAGAGGTATTGAAACCTCTCCCTAGTATACGCATTTTAAAACCGGGAGACTGACGGCGATATATAAGGGGGACTTGGGCTGTTACAATATATCTTTTTAACCTTTTCTTTGGCTTGATAATGCATAATATGCCTCAATATACCATGACAAAGGAATTAGTAACTTCGGTTGGGGTAAGATAACTCGTACTATTACGAGTTTTTGGAAGAATCAAACAAAACACGTGGGTTGAAATTTACTTGTGCATTAACCTCCATGGAAACTGCAGGCTCGACCGCTGCTGGCACAAGCTATTGAGGATGAGAACTTTGAAGAATTGGTGGATCCAAGGCTAGACAACAATTATGTCGACAGAGAAATGTTTCGAATGATCGAAGCAGCCGCTGCCTGCGTTCGTCATTCAGCCGTAAAGAGGCCAAGAATGAGTCAGGTTAGTATCATCTTCATACCATTCATAAAAGTCCCAACTTAGAGGGAAAAGAAAACTAAGATAAAGATGAACTGTTTTGGCATCAGGTGGTGAGAGCTCTAGACTCTTTAGATGAAATGTCAGATCTTTCGAATGGGGTGAAACCTGGACAGAGTGAAGTGTTTGATTCAGCTGAACATTCTGCTCAGATTAGAATGTTTCAGAGAATGGCTTTTGGCAGTCAAGATTACAGTTATGGTTACTCCGAACGAGATCGAGATCGAGATCGGAGTCGAAGTTATAGTCAAAGTCAGAGTAGCTGGAGTAGAGAATCGAGAGATCAAAGTCCATCGGTGCCTAATAATCGATCCCGGCACGTCTGATATGTGTGTATGAAGCTCATTTTACATGTGTTGCAGATTTTGGAGCTGGAATCAGGTCCTACCATTCAATTCTTTGTAAATCTCTGCTCATTTTTTCCCATCTTAGTTTTCTTTTGTTCTTGAAAGCTTGTTCTCCATTTCATTATATTTTCAATTTTGAGGAGTAACTACAGATGGATGAACTATTCTTTGTACAATCATTACAATTATTCGTATATGAATTTTGAAGAATGATTCTTTCTTGGCATCATCTCTGATTTTTGGGATGAATTTACTTCCCCATATCTTGTTTAGTTTCAAGGGTCGAGAGATTTGTTTTGTTTTTGATCCGAGATGAGAAATAGAATATGAGGTCCCATGTTGGTTGGAGAGGGAAACGAAACATTCTTGGTAAGCGTGTGAAAACTCTTCCAGACGCGTTTTAAAACCTTGATGAGAAATCTAGAACGGAAAGCCCCCAAAAAAAAAAACATATGCCAGCGGTGGGTCAATGAGGAAGCTGGGCTTCCAATAGGGATGGATGGTGAGATCCCACACCGATTAACAAGGGGAACGAAGCATTTCTTATAAGAAAAAATTGTGAAAATGAGAGTTAGGTACCGAGGGGTGTGCCAATGAAGGCACTGGCCCCCAATGGGGGTATTATTGCAATTTTGTAAAAATAAAAATTGGATTTTTTTTATTTTTTTGGTCAACAAGACAATGTTTTAACTAAATATAATTGACGACCAAAGAAAAAGGAAAATATTATGAAATATTTCAATTACTTTAAAACGACACCGTTTCTTCAGCAATGGGAAAGAGAATCTATGCTCCCTAGTGGAAAGTAAATCGGCACCTAATTTCTCTATACTTTCTCGCCGAGAGAAATCTTGTTTCCAGAAGCACAGGATCACCTGGTAGTGAAGGAGACAGCTTAGAACGAAGAACGAAGAATGGCAGAAGAACGAGAGGATCCACAGAGGCTGAAGAGAGCAGCGGCGGCAGCATACGATTACGAGAACGATCCCAAATGGGCTGATTACTGGTCCAACATTCTGATCCCTCCTCACATGGCTTCTCGCCCCGACGTTGTTGACCATTACAAGCGCAAGTTCTACCAGCGTTACATCGTGGGTTCTCTCCCTTTTGATTGTTTTCGAATTGGGTATCGTTGTATTCTTCAATTTTGACTCCGTACTCGGTAATTGTTAAGCTATTTGGCGTTGAGTTCTGGATTTCGAGATGTGGCTTAAATTTTTGTTGTTTGTCGCTAGTTTCTGCTTTGTGGAATGTTACTGTTAGTGCAATTTTTATTGGGAATTTTCTCTTTTAAAATTAGAGGTTTCTTGTGGATTTATGGGTTCTTGGAGTTGAGAGAGGATGTTCAAGTTCAATTACAAGTCAATTAGCTAAAAATTTAGACTGGTTTTGTATAAGGTGAGAAATGGGGTATTTGTTTAACTGTCCTCTTTTATAGAATTTGTGCTGTTTGGTGGCTGCTGAGAATTCAAATGTCTTCTTGGATGTGTTTTAAATTCTTACCTTATGCTTCTTTTCCTTGCTTGTCAAAACAGGATCCCGATCTTGTGGTTGAGGCCATGTCTTCAAGTAGTTCAACTCAGTCATCCAGACCTTCAGCAACGTCTTCAGCAGCACCCCCTCCTACTAATGACCGAAGTCGACCACGAAGTTCAGGTAAAAGTTCTGTTTAGATCTAGATATATTTTAATGTTCGTTGTGAAGTTACCTGATTGCATTTCCATAATGCAGGGTCAACGACTAGGACTTCAGGTACGTCTGCAAGTGCAGATGCTAATCCAAGTCCGTTGCGCTGGGATCGTCAAACGATCCAGTTTTCTGTCAATGCATGGGTAGGTTTAGTTTAGTTCATGCTTACTTACATTACATGATCTTGCAATGTTTGGTATAACCTCAGAATATTTGAGGGCTACACACGAAGTTCCAAATTTCTTCATCACAATGTTATTTATGTATTTTCATTTTTTTTCTTAAATCTGAGCTGCTGGTTTTAGGAAAGCTTGTATGAACTTTCAATCCATCGTTTCTGAAAGATGAATGTAGCTCTCATAAGTTTTGTTGATAAAAGTTGGTACATATCGCCATATCCTATTTGTATCTGAAATGCTTTTACTTATTCTCTTTGTTGAGCTATCCCCATCATTACTAAAACTGTCCCCTCTTTGCGTCTGCCTGTGCACGCTTGCTATGCACTTGATTCCCTAGATATGAAGGGTACGATGTGCATTATTACTTCTACTTTATAAGTTATTATTTGACAGTGCCCTGATAGTTCTCCAAGATTTACTACCGGGTTTTCTCTATTAATTTAAGTTTTGATGTCTTTTTTTACCTCGATCGAGATTTTCAACTGTCCCGTTTTTGGGTAAACTGCAAACAAAAGACTTTCTGTTGGGCTTTGTGATATCCTGGAGGATTAATTTACATATGGGAAGTTCATCCATAGCAGATTACAGTCATCAAATTGTAGAGGTTATGTGACCATTGTCCATGAGCTGCTTTTCCTTCGGGGAAACTTTAAGCCTCCAATAAAAATCTTTATTGAAAAGTCATGAACATTATTTCAAATTCGAGCATGAATGTCATATACGAAGGTATGTTCATAAAAATATATTGGTTTTCTTTAGTATTGGCTCGTGGTTATGGATCTTTCTGAACTGCTTCTATTTTTTTTAACATATTTTTCAATTTGGTCTCCATCCTTAAAGGTTGTTCTCTTTTCTTCTGCAGGTGCTTATTGTAGCTGTGCTTGCAATTTTCCCCCTAATACCCAAAAATCTTTCGCAGAGGGCATATAGGCTATCTTTTATGGGCATAACTTGTTCTTCTTTATATTCTTTGTACTCGTTATATGGAGTAAGTCCTCTGTACTAATTTAACAAGCCTCATTTCCATTCCATGAAAACGATTGAATTCTTCCTATCTAAAGAAAAGAAAATGCTCGGGTTATTGTCCTCGAGAATACGAAGAAAAAAAAACAGCTCCTTTATGTCCATCTAGTTTACCTGTTGTCTTTCTATCTTGAATTATTAATTTTTTAATGTTTGCAGAAGCCCAGGGCGTGGAATTTGCAAGCATTGCAAGCCTATTTCCAGTCCATAATTGCAACAAAAGATTTCATTTACTTCATTTACTGTATCACCTTTTTGACTTCAAATATTTGCCTTAAATGTAAGCATAGCTTCGTATTCAAGTTTTGTTTATTTATTGATCTTCTTATGATATCGCTGTATGACTTTGTTCATGTAGTTATTTTCATCTTTCACACTTGTGCGGTAACATTTTTTTTGGTTAATGCAGTTGCTTTAATTCCTATCCTGTGTCGGGCTCTTGAACACGTTGCAAAGTTTCTTAGGCGTAATTTTGCACGTTCGTCCTTATACAGGTAGCCTGTTCTCAATTTTTCAATTCAGTTTATCTATTCCACTTGGATTCTGATTCGCCCTAAAAAAAACCTGCTTACAGTCAACACCTAAGAAAGCACAAATACGGATATGACACATACACGACGACATGTCATTTTTTAAAATCTTTACCATGAACACGACAAGGAAATGTTTGATTCGTGTCTAGTAAATGTTGAACCTATTTTGATTTTGTACAACTAGTGTCTACCACATCTATTGCACTAACAAGTGTTTGATAGAGTGTCTAAGTGGTCAACATGTGTCATGCACAAGCACGCTGGCCGAACGAAAGTGTCCATGCTTCTTAGATGAGGACTGCATTTGTTCTTCCTTTTATATTTTCCATCTTTGCTTTTATGGAGGGGAAGGTGCCCACATTTTCTTCCTTGTTATGCCTAGAGAAGGATATACTAAGAAATTAATGGCATAGTACAGAAAGTAGAGAATAGATCTGATTAAAGCTCCTTTAATTACAAATGTGGAAGCTGAATAGTATTAATAGGAGACACATAATTCGTTCTCGAGGGAATTAATGAGTTGTCAAAATAGATGAATGTGTATTGACTCTTACTTTTCTCGTGTGCTTAAAATCTTGTTGTCGACTACTTTTATCGCTCGAGTTCATAGCAACAACGTATCAGGTTCTCCCTGTGCAAGTATCTTATGCTTTTATGCCGTTTCTAATTTGATGCAGGAAATATTTGGAAGAGCCTTGCGTATGGGTGGAGTCAAATTCAACTACCCTCAGCATCCTATCTTCGCAGGCTGAGATTGGACTTGGCTTCCTCCTAATCATCTCCTTGCTTTCGTCAGTTTTTAGTTCCTTTTGGCTCTTCTCAACTTCTTCTACATCCTTTTTAATGCTCATTTCCCTTCATTGATCTCTTCAAACTTACGTTTTGCAGGTGGCAACGCAACTTCTTACATGTATTCATGTACTGGCAGGTGTGTCTTTTTTTTGTATTAATCATTAACATAATAGCATATTCTTTGTTCTGTGAGACCCCACATCGGTCGGAGAGGGGAACGAAATATTCTTTATAAAGGCGTGGAAACCTCTCCCTAGCATATGCGTTTTAAAACCTTGAGGGGAAGCTTGGAAGGAAAAGTCCAAAAAGGACAATATATGCTAGCCGTGGGCTTACTATTATAGTATAATATGAATTCAGTATTCAAATGTTTGAATTTCCATTGACAACCATAGTCTTTTGAATCATTAACTCGAAAGCGATTCTCTTGAATTTGAAACCAACAATTTGGTATGTTGATGATCTCATTTGATGTTATAAACTCATGAATAGGCTGGTGAGGATCTTTCAGGGTGTTTCCCTTGAAACTTTTTATTTTGTGTTCATATTGAAAAATAGAGCTGGTGAATCACTTTTTTTGTTCTTGCAAAACAGCTGCTAAAGCTCATGTATCACGCTCCTGTCACTTCTGGGTATCATCGTAGCGCCTGGTCGAATATTGGGAGGTTTGTTTCTCCGTTGATCTACCGCTACGCCCCGTTCCTCAATACTCCTCTTTCAATGGCGCAACGATGGTGGTTCAGGTAGAAAGCTAATAGAGGAAGAAGATGCAACTCTGATGTACCAAAATTTTTAGACTAATCATAGTAGTGACTCCATAAGTTGGATGAGATTCTCACTTACAAAAACTGTGGATCAAGTTTGGCGTCCAAATGCAACTTATATACTTATCATTGATATACATTATACACATCTTAGGAGATTGCTATGTTTGAAATGTGGGTTAAATTTTGTCATACTGCCTAAAGGTTTCTCATGGTGGTGGCTATATGCACTCTGTTCATGGTGGAGCCAAGGTTCTTCATTATTTCTTTCATTTTGTAGACTTCATATCCGGCATTTTAGTATCTAATGAGGTTCGGAAAATGGGTCACGTGACTCGACGATTGCTACACGGGCTTCGATACATGTGTTTAGGTGAGTTTTTGTTGAATAATTTGAGATATGCTAGACCTTTTAAACTCGTTACATCGGACTGGAGAAAGTATATTGATATCAATAGATACTATATTGCATTATATATCTTGATCATCTGGTGGAGGTATTCAAATTGGATCAATGACGATTTCTAGGAAACTTTCGACATCAATTTTGTGTCTGATCCTTTATGATTAAAAAAGAAAATACCATTTTTATGCGATATAATAATTAAAAAAAATTATGAAATTTAAAAAAGGTCAAAGATGTTAATGACCAATTAAATTTTTTATAATTTAAAAGTGAAAGAGTGAAGGTTGTAATTAAAAGAATATAAATAAATAAAAAGAAGAATCTGAATCGTACGGCAAGCACGCATCCATCTGCCGCGCTGCGCCGCCCGGAGCATTTGACCATCCCTCACTTGCTCGTCGTCTTTGGAGTGGCTGATATTTTCTCAATTCCGGCTCCGACAGATCTCTCTTGCAGTCGCTTCGCTTTCTTCGGCTTTTTTGTTTTTCCCATTTCTGTGTCCGAATTTTACTGACCTGCTCAGGTACCTTCTCCACGACCCTAAATTTCTCATTTTCCCCTTATAGCATAAGCTTCTTCTCATTCTTTATTTGGTTGATTACAACTAGTCGGAACTCAACTAGAATGTGTTCGAATTAGGAAAATTTGAAGCATCCGTTTGCCGTTAAGTTTTCAGCTTCCATTTTCATCGCTTGGATCCGACTGTAGATTAGCTCTTTGATGTTGTTGATATAATAATTTGAAGCTTGAGCAATAATTTGTGATATAGAAACTTGGGAAAAGGTGCTGACTACTGGAAATTAAAGAAGAGGTTCAAATCCCCACCCCACATTTGTTGGACTAGAAAAGAACTAATTTCAACTTGATGATACTGTTTCGACTTAGATATGTGTTTTTCTACATAATCAGAATTTTGAGACGCCATTTTCTAGGACTACGTTCTAACCCTTCACTGTTACGTAATGAAGACACCTGTAGATGGTCAATATTCTAAGCTGGGGCTCTAGGAGAATTGAAACTGGATCTTTGATATGCTCCATGATTTTTATATTTAAGGCTTGAGGGTTTTCTGAAAGTCTTGGATTCTGAAACTATCATAAGTCAGATAGTTATATTATCAATTACTTTTTGGATTCTTTACAGTTTTATTTACTTATATAATTAATTTGTTTATAATTACTTAACTTCCCAGTCTACTTTTACCTGAAGTGTTCTTAATGTTGTATGGATTAACATGTGTCATTGCCACATTTTATTGATTGGTGATTCCTACCTGGTATTCTGTTTATTCCTGCAGATTAAATTTACAGCTACTGAGTGGACTTTTTGCTACCGAATTGTCCGTTATATTTCCATTTTATGGGAACCGAGGATTTCATTGCATTGCCAGCTTCTGGTGATTTTGGAAATGAAAATGAGAGTAATGAATCTCTTAGTTTTAATGAAACAAGAGAAGCTTCTTCTCAATCAAGTGTTTTGGAGTGCAAGGACAATCCTGCAAGCATAGAGAAGGTTGAGCTTGCAGATGATGTGCAGTTGGAAGATATGCGTTGCATACCCCAATCTGGCCTTAATGATGAAACACAATGTTCTGAATCAGATATGGAAATTGAGGATTTGGATAACCTCCCAGATTTAAGTAAGACTAGAAGTACAAGTGAGAATTATAAAATACGGAGTGAAGCCGAATACCTGCCAGTCAACTCTGTAGATGAGAATATACTACCAAGCATAGAGCCCTTGCAGCAGAATGAGCTTCATTTAAGATCTGAAGATGTTTCTCATGCCGAAAGTAAAAAAATTCAGAAGGATTTGGTTGACAATTCATCCTTCTCGAAAACTAGTGGTCTATTGACTCTAGCCACTGGAGTTTCCATTGAGAATGGTTCGGCCCCATCCCATCATCATGGAGGCCCCAGAAAGATTCACAAGAGTGATGGTAGTTGGACTTTTCTCCCCGAATCCATCTCCTTTTATGATTTACTTTCAAAAACTAATCTATCGGTTTTTTTACCATTTTTTAAAGGCGTATCCCCTTTTAATTGTGATAAGTTAAGTTTTATATAATTTACAATGTTCTAATTGTGATACTAAAAAATATTTTTCTACTTATCCAGCAATATTAGGTGTCAAAAAACCAAGGATGGCCATGGATGAACAACAACCTTCAGTGCACATCGTGTATACTTCTTTAACAAGGTTGGTTGTGTAACTGCTTCTGCAAAAATGAGCCTATTTGTTCAATTTAATAAAAATTATATTTTGTTGTATTTGAAGAGCAGGCATCATTGCCAAAAAGTGTAAAACAAGGTGATATTGTTTGCATTAGGGTTTTTAAGGGATTAGAGTGCTAACAGTGGTACTGGATAGAGAACTAGCATCATTTGAATTTGATACAACCGAATGACTAATTATTGGTGAGATGAAGCAATTTTCTGAAATTGATTTGTCTTGAAGCCTATATAAATTTTAAAATGTCAATGAAAGTTGTTCTCTTATTTTGAAATTGTCATCCACTTAAAAATGTTTCTTCCTTTCCTTAAAAACGACCATTTTTTTAAACTATATTTGTATTTATCCTATTGGAAACTGATTCTCTTCTTAGAAAAAATTAAAATTTAATGTTGGTCGAACAACTTATAGAGAACTATGTTCAACAACTGAATTTGTAAGTACCTAACTAGATTCATTTTCTTATTGTCAGAGATAGTAAACAAAAGCTGGATGAATTATTAAAGCAGTGGTCTGAGTGGAATGCTCAACGAGGTTCTCCATCACAAGTAAACCTCATTCATCAGTGCTGCTTGGTTTGCAGCTATCTTCTCTGGCTTATTGTTTAATTTGTTGGTTTACACAATCTTGTGGAATTTAGAATCAACTCTTTTTCATCTGATTTTGTCGAATAGTTAAACTGAGGTGTACTCATCTGTAGGCCAGTGTTTTTCTGTTAATGGTTTTTCTTCACAAATGATTTTTTCTAAATTTAAAGTTCCCTATCTTGAGTGATTTTTTGGGCAATGTTTGTTTTTGTCAAGTTTCTTGAAATGAGGTTATTTTATTATCTTTGATTTTGAACGAAGAAGCGAGCGAGCCACCAGTGATTGTCTAGTGTTCAAAGGGGTAATTATAGATTAATGAGGTGGTTATCCTCTAATTGTTCCTATAAAATAATGAAATCCCTGTGTGGTGTGCCCGAGGCTTGCCTCGAGGCAAGACTCTTGCTTTTAGCCTTGAGACTTACACCTCCTTTGAACCACAAGAGACTTGCACCCTTGTAAAAGTGCAATGAGGCTTATAAGTCTCTATGCCTCAGGTTATGATCAGAAGAATAATATTAATCTATCTTGTTCTTCAAAAATATAAAAGTTTGAGTGACAATATGAACTATTACTACTTTTTTGGTATTGAGACTTTAAATGTATTGAAGTCAAAAATTTATATTATAAGCCAACCCTATAAATGATTATAGTAGTGAGGTTAAAGTATCCTTTTAAAATTTTGGTTTAAGTGGCCATTTACGGATTTGTTCATTGGATGAGTTTTTTGTCTGTGTTTCTGTGTTTGTTGTGGTGGAGGGGTGGAGGAAGCTAATTGAATTTGTCTGTTTCTCTGTTCAGGGTGATAAAGAATCTAAAAACCTAGAATCTGGAGAAGAGACCTTCTTCCCTGCTCTATGTGTCGGCACAAAGAAGACTTCAGCAGTGGTGACTTTCTATCTTTTTGTTCATAAACGTTTATATTTGAACTTTTTGACCTGTGTTTATCTCAATTTGAATGGCGTTTCTACTTTCGGGTTTAGTTAGCAACAGTTTTCTATTTATATCTCTTATGCTAAATCTTAAGTTAAGAGGAAAGGTTTGAATTTGGACTTCCCTTTTTCATTCTTTTTCTCTATCCCGTGTGTGGGAAAAAATAAACTAGAAGTTCTTCTAGGAGCTTAACTCTTGAAACTTTCTTGTTTTGTGTTTGCATGACCACAGACCATCATAGTTGAAAATTTGAATTGCTGGTAGCAATTAAAGCAGGTGTATGGATAACTAGGCTACACATTAAGTTAATGCCAATAACAACATGGGGACGTTTTGATTCGCAATATGAGAACATGTTGATAAACTTTCTTTTTGTTTACTTTATTATCCTTTATTCAGTTTGATGCTGGAGACAAACTAAACCTATTTTCCCTTTATGGTTCGTTCTAAGTATGTTATTTTGTGGTAAAGAATTTGTGAATTATTTATTAGCTTTTCCTTCCTCTCTTGTTTTTTTAGCTACTTCCTGAATTTTTCTTCTTAATCATTGTTTATCTGCAGACTTTCTGGATTGACAACCAAACAAGTGAACAGCCGCAAAATTTTGTTCCTATAGATGATAATTCGGTGCCGCTATACGATCGGGGATTCACTTTGGGACTGACTTCAGCCAATGATTCGAATAATGCGGAAGGGTAAATTCTCTTTATTCACCACTGTTGATGGTTCAAGTTAACAGCAGGGGACAAGCAAATCTAAAGAATGAGGCAGCTTTATATTTAAATAAAATCTAGTCCTTGATTTCCTTGTTTTTCATGGCAATGGAAATGAAAGGATTCTTCATAATAGTTTTATCTTTTTAGTTTTGCAGAGTACATGAATATATGGGCTTATACTTGGTTTTGTGTCTTTCCATTAGTGCTCTTTTAATCGTTACCCTTTTACTACTACACTTTGAACTTGTTTTTTTTTATTTTTTTATTCTTCTCTTTCTTTATTTTCTATGGAAAACTTTCTAGAGGCCAGAAGATAATTGATGATGCTAGCCGTTGTTTCAATTGTGGTTCTTACAACCATTCCTTAAAGGATTGTCGAAAGCCTCGAGATAATGCTGCTGTTAATAATGCTCGCAATATGTATAAAAAACATAATAGCTCTGGCTCCCGGAATTCAACTCGATATTATCAGAGTTCACGTGGCGGGAAGTATGATGATTTGAGGCCAGGAGCTCTTGATGCTGAAACACGGCAACTGTTAGGTCTCAAGGTATTATAACTATCTTGTTTTTAAGAATTATTTCCTTCATGGCTTGTCATGGAGTTACTCGGGCTGTATTCTTCTGATGTGGGTTGACACCTTTCTGAGCTTCTATTCTCTTTTGCCTTGCTGATAGTTTGTCCTTTTGAATCTTAAGGGTTTCCTCCTGATGATGGAAAACTAGGAATTTCGAATTCGAGGGCTTAGGTTATCTCTGGATCGGTTTGGCTCTTGACTGTCATCTGCCATAATAAACAGTCATTTTAGATCAAATAAAACCAAAATTTAGAAATTGATGAAGATTGGCATATGGTTTGAAAATCATATGCATAATTCAGTAGTGATTTTACTAATAGGAAATTTTGATTTATGAGTTGGAATCAATATGTGGCTATGTTTTTTGATATTCCTTTCACTATTCAGGAGCTTGATCCACCCCCTTGGCTTAACAGAATGCGAGAGCTGGGCTACCCACCTGGATATCTAGGTAATTACATTAAGTTATCTGTGCTGCTTTGTCTTCAATCTAGTCATTTTAATGTTTTTATTGCCTTCCAATGTTCTTTTATTTTTATCAATGAGAGGTAGCTCTTCCGTTGACAAAAAGAACATGTTTCAAAATCACTCTCATGCAGTAAAAACTTGTTTGTGTTTTAAGCTAAATATAATTCCCACTAGAATGATTACTAGGATAAAAAAAAAAATTAACCATTATAAAATAACAAACAAGAAATAAATAAATCTATTATGATCTGCAATGTTCTGTTCACTATTTAATGGCAGTAAAAACTTGTGATCTTTCAGATCCGGAAGATGAGGATCAGCCATCAGGGATTACAATATATGCTGATGAGAAAGGTGACGAACAGGAAGATGGGGAAATTACTGAGCCAGAGTACCGTAAACCAGGAAAGAAAATGAGCGTTGAATTTCCTGGAATAAATGCTCCAATCCCAGAAAGTGCAGATGAAAGACTTTGGTCTGCTGAACCTTTGAGTTCGGATCTCCCTAGAAAGCGATCAAGCCAGCGCTTGAACCATCACATAGAACATGATGGGAGGGGAAATGATCACCATCAACAACGTTGGTCCCGGGACTACAGAGATTACAGGCCTCCCGGTGTTGACTCGGTAAAAAGTCCTACCATCTTCACTCCAAGGTATGGCGGTCACGAATCTAGTTATGGCTCCCGTAGTCCAAGAGATAATTTTTCAACATCAAGGAGCCAAAATTTGGGGAGGCTCCACTCGGATAGAGGTAGAAAAAGCCCAAGGCTTGACGATGATTACTCGAGATATGGCTCTTACAGTTCCTCCCCGTTTTCGCCACCTAGAAGACGCTGATATTTGGGGATCGACAGATTCTGTAGAAACAAACATTCTGAAAGAATTGTGGGTGTGAAGTAGACTTGACGTTTTTATTTCAAAGCTGGTGAAGAATATTTAACCTTGCAGGCAGTTGACAGAGGAAGTTTCTGAAACAAACGAGAGATAGAACGTGTATAAAAGAATCATAGTTTGGTGAAACTGAGACATTAGTTGATGAATCTGCACCTTCTGTTGTATATGGGTTATTCACTTAGAGAGATAACTGAATATCGAGAATACTGCATCGAGATGACAGGATTCGACAGGAACATTCTTTTGAATGATTCTCAGGTCGGACCGAAAATATGATTTTAGGTGAGGGAAAGACTAGCATTGTTTGTTTCATTAGAAAAAAACCGTATAATCCGAAGAACGAGTTGTAGTATCATTTATCTTATTGTGTTATTACCAGGATGGATCTTCAGTTGTCCTAATGAGAACAACTCATCTGTCAGCAAGTAATAATGAGAACAACTCATCTGTCAGCAAGTAATACTCAAAAGAATCGTACTTGATTCGACTCGAAGTACAGTTCACTTTTGCCCCTTCTGTTCATAATGCAATCATTTTCAAACAAGATGAACAGAAACAATTGTAGTAGAAAGCAAGAGGAGAGCAAAATCTTAATAGATCATCCACAAAAACCGTCTACCAAACACGTTTATTGTAGAACAAGGGTGAGAAAGGGAATCAAATCAATAAGGTTAAAACAATCATTCAAGAACTAACATAGAGGCAAACATTTTGATACAAACAAATTTCGGGGGCATAGCCGAGAATCCACGGGTCAGCGGCTACCGTAACGTCAAATAACTAGCGCTAAGGATAGAGAGTGTCAATATATAAAATGGCTGGAGTATCCTGAATCCTAAAAGAAGAAAAAAAGAGGGGGAAGGAAGTAGAAAGCAAATCCCCCTGCCCTCACAAATTCGTAGTTCTAACTACATTTGAATTCTTGTTACACATCCTAAACCTTCTCTCCCTACCATCATCAAATCAATCCTACACAAGTTGACCCACTTACCCATCTTCAACAGTCAACATTATTATAAGAAGGGCAGGTCAAATGGTCACGTTGTGAAAAAGGTCCACAGCTTCTTCCCTATGGAAGCTTCACCTGGATGTTCCGACTCTTCTTCATCATCATCCTCATCTTCATCACAAGATTCACTTTTGTATTTCCCGCGATCGCCGTACTTGCCTGCAATTTCCGGTGACCCATTCACTTCTTCACTCAGAGATACCATATCAGTTGAATTTTTCGACGTACCAGCAATAGTGACATCTTGATTATCTCCAACCGTACCACACTGCACAATAAAAGACCATGAAATTAACTAACGATCCCCAGAGTTGAATCAGCATTCACATTGCTGCATCATTGAGTGTCGAGGGAAAGGCCAAAACCAAACCGAAGTTGAGACAAATTAAAACGATCGAAATGAAAGAACGACATAACCTATCTCCTATACAGATTGGTTTTTCTTGGGAAAAGAACTCGATAAGAAATAAGCTTCAGTATTGCAAATGGAGTACACGTTTTAAGATTAAAGAAGAATATGCAAGACTAATATGAACGAAAAAAGATAAAAGACGAGCTCATATACTGAAATTAGACGAACATTGAAGGAAATAGAGGTTCAAAATCATGATGCTCAACAAGAAACTAGGATTGAACCATACCCTTACAAGGTAAGTGCTTCCAGCATTGTCGCTGGCAACCCCCATTGATGGTGTATGACGAGCTTTTGAATAGTGAACGTCTTCCTCTGTACGATTAACAGGAGCATCTTCTTCATTTCCTTTACTAATGTTAGATGGGTCTTTAGAAGCACCTACACTGAATAAATTATGTAGCAAAAAACCCAAATCAGATGAAAGACAAATTATAACTTGTCTTAAAATGGCATCACAAAATTAAAATGTAGAGTAAAGAGCAATAACTTCAAAGGGTCATGCACATATACATAGTTTTTTTCAGGCAGGTTGGGTTGGGGCTATGGGAAGGTGGGTGCCACCGTAACCACGCATATGCACTATAACACGAATTCGGGGCATGGGTAGGGTGACATGGTGTAATAATCTAGCCTATCAGTTTTTTTTTTTTTTTTCCCCTAGTTCTCCCTACATAGATAACAAAGGAACAATCAGAATCTTACGCTTTAGTTCGCCGGAGATTGTATCGTTTTTCGGGAGCTCGCACAGTGGGGACAGCCCTCTGTCGCCTTTTCCGTGGTTGACCTTCAACAACACTGCCAGAGCGTACCTCACTGTCATCATTATCATTCTCACCCATGATTTGAGATGAATTAGCGTGTGTTCTCTTCCGCAAATTCCTTCGTGTGCCTTTGCCAGCAAGACTAGATTCATCCCGACTCTCATTATTCAGCTGACTAGAATCCTCAGCATTTCCATTTGGATACTCAACCGTTTGCTGAAGTTCCCCAATTATAGCCTTAGATTCTTCAACAACCGCCTTAACAGATCGAGTTCTACTGATTTTAGGCTTTTCTCTCCTGGGACGTAGTTTTCGCTGATTTACTACCCTTGTGGCAGAAGGTTGGGAATCAACTGCAACTTCTGGTGCCTTACTATTAACGTTACTTTGATCATCAGTTGAAAGATTCAGGCTTGGTTCAACCTCCCTGCCACTAACATCAGACTGAACTCTCTTGTCGTCAAGAGAATCACTTGCAATTGCAAGAGATAACTCTGCCTCCTCTTCACTTGCAGATACTCTCTTGGAAGGTTCGGCCGGAACATCATGTTCGTCTGATATTGGTGCCTCGTCATCATCCTGTTTCTCAAATGCTGGAGATGCAATCTTTTTACCTGGAGAGAACTTAAAAATCTTAGACGTGCACTTACGAAGCCAAGAAATGGTTCCACTAGAAGTATGAGTTGTTGGACCAGCTGCGCCTGGAGTCAGTTCACCATTTCGCACATCAGAAATACCCAGAGTTCCACCTGGAGACATATGCAGTCCTTGAATTTCCATATATCTATCAGGAAGTCCGGGCAGATTAAGAACATCAGCATTTTCAATACCACCCAAAGATTGCAAATCTGAAAGCACAAACTCAGATGCAGTTTCCCCACAGTTCTTGCAGGTCATGAGTTTGTCAACATATGAAATAAAGCGATCTCTCTCCTCCACAAGCCGTTCTCGCTGGTTTTTCAACTTATTGCTAAGTTCGAGAAGCTCTTCAATGTCCTTACGTATCTCAATTCTCTGCTTTTCCAAATGTTCTTTATTAGCTTCAGCTTCCTGTTTTTCTTTATCAGTTTTGAGTCTCTCGAGTTTCAGTTCCTCCATGTCTCTTCTAGCTACATCTCTTAAAAATTTAATATTCTCCAACTCTCTCTCCTTCTCTTCCTTAAACAATTTCTCTTTCTCCCGGAATTCTCTTTCCATTTCTTCGACCCGATTCTGCATGGAAGATTCTAGTTCTCTTTTTTGTAGTTCAAAATCATGCAACATTTGGCTTCTATCACTTTGAGCTTTTTCAGCAATAGCGGATTTCTCATGCTCCATACTAGCTGCAAAGGATTCTCGGGCTAACTTTAGATCTTCCTGCTCCCTAAGGATATAAGCTTCAGTTTCTGATCGCTCATTTCTCAACCTTTCCTCCTCAGAGAAGATCCTTTTTTCAAATTCTTCCTTTTGCTGCAAAAGAGTCTTCTGCTCTTTCTCAACCTGAGCTCTTTTCTCATCCAGCTCTTCCCATTCTCTCTCAAAAGTTTCTTTCTGCTGCTTCAAATCCTCTGCTTCCTTCAGCAGTAGTTCTTTCTGTTCCCTGTACTTCTCTATCTCTTGTTTCAATTCAGACTGCAAACGGAGGAAATCAGACTTCTCTGTCTCACTCACTTGAAGACTTTCCTTCTCTTCATGTAATTTCAACAGTTGTGCTTCATTCTCCGCTCTAATTTTCTCCACTTCAGCCATTAAACTGATCAGATCCTCTTTATCAGTGAGCAATTGTTTCTTCTCTGCCTCAAGCTTCTTCTCCTCAGTTTTCATTGACTTCTCTCTTTCTTTCGAAGCCTTGAGCTTTGTATCATAGTCTGCCTCTTTCTCCTTGAACTTCTCTGTTCTCTTTTCGAGTGCCTGCTCTCTTTTAGCAACCTTTTCCTCCATGTGCTTGATTTCAGCTTCCTTTTTCTCCACTTCAGACACTTTGTTTTTCAATTCTTCATCTAAAGATTTTCTCTTTTGATCAATTTCCAGCTCAAACTCAACTTTCTTTGCATCTAAAATGGCATTGTGTTCATCAAGAAGTTTTTGAATCTCAACCTGTTCACATTGCAGTGGTTAAAAATACAATTAGACTATTTCAAATGTTACCAGGTACTGTATTTCTCTTCTTTGGAAATAAAATTTGACGATGAAATCCCTGAGAAGAGTAAAAGAGGCTACTTTCCCTTAACATATACCAGGGTTCAGTTGATATCAACCAAAATCAAACTAATCCGATGAGCATTAAAACCAGTTCAGTCGAACTTAGCAACTACCAATCTTTCATAGGAGGTAAAAATATATATTGTAAATCAAACGAAATCAAACCAGTTTGATCGTAAATGAGATGCATACAGAAGCTGCCATAAAAAACTATACGGTTCTCACGTAGATTCCATACAGCAAGTGGAGTGACAGAACTTACCTTTTCACGAGCACTAAGCTTTTCTTCTAACACAAGTAACTCCTTCTCTTTAATCTCCAAAGTAACTTTCAATGCATCGGATTCCTGCATCCAGAAGAAACAGTAATATTAAAACCTGTAAATATAATTCACTGCGCATCTGTTGGTTGCTTGAAGAAAGGTACTAGCCTGCTCTTTCAAAGCTATGTTAGCTAGCCTACTACTTATATCTTCTTCTTTCCTTTTCAGAGCTATATTAGCAGACTCAATTTTCTTCTGAGTCTCTTCAAGATCTCTCTCTTTCTGTTTCACCATCCTATCATTCTCATTAGCCCTCTCCTCTCGCTGATTAAGAATTGTTTGACCCTTGGCAAGCCTCTCTTCTGCATCTTGCTGCTTTCTTTCCCATTCCCGTAAATCGTCGCGTTGTTTAGACAATGTAGCCTCGAGAGCTTCTCGTCTAACAAAAGTCAAAATTGAAAACATCATTTTAAACTTGTGTACTTTTTGGTTCTAGAGAAAAATTACAAGAATGCGATAAGATTTAAGACAATTATCTGAGAATAGTGCATACTCTGCATTGAAGGATAGACGATCCCTCCTAAGTGCACCTTCCCGAGCCTCCAGATCTTGCAGCTTCCTTTCCACCTCTGAGTTCTTCCGGCTCACCTCAGCAAGTTTTGCATCAGCAGCACGAAGTTTTGCCTCCACCTCCAAAGATTTTTCTTCAATGCTAGTTACTAAAGCATTGGCTTCAGATAGCTTTGAGTCAC